TTTGAATATTTATTTGTTTGTTTGCCTGATTGAAAATTGTGATATGTTCGACTCTATCTGGAGAGCTGTAAAATAGTATGTAGGTAGAGAATAATTTTTTAATGCAGACAGACTGTTAATCACAAATTTATTTAAAGACGTTAATTAATTTATTGACTTATTCATACGTACAGTAACCCATTTTTTTAAAAAAGATTTGAAAAGCCACTAGACTCGGCGGGACCGTGACGTCACAGGTTTTTGTTTACTCTTTAGTACAATAAAATGGCGGCGTCTATCGAAGAAAATTGTGTTCCCATTCACAAGTTTAACGCGTTCTAAATCTAATTTTCTGTCGGTCATAACTTTAACAATACGTCCGTTTGCTGTATTTATTACGTTCCAACACTTATATCAATTTTCAACTGTCTTTTTCATTTAGTTTTACAATAAATTTCTCTAGGTCTAAAGATCAGCTGTCGAAGGAAAGTTATTTATAGATCTAGATCTAGAATCTAGAATCTAAAAATCTAGGTCAAATCCAAGATTTATTAGTTATAAATACAATAAAAAAAACGAAACTTTAGCAAACCAGTCGTAGATCTAGAATATAGATAATTCTATCTAGATTTAGATAATAATGAGTTTCTATATACTAAACTATTTTAGACCTTTATTATTTTATATAAATCTTTTTTTGTATAGCTATGAAATATGCTAATTAGGAAATGCTGGATGCGGGGCCTATTTGCATAACTTAAGATTCATACGCGGCTTCTATACCGCTAAGTGTGCAAAATTATAGACGTAAACTCTAGATATAGCTCAGTCGTAGATCTAAAATATAGATAATTTTCTATCTAGATTTAGATAATAATGATTTTCTATATACTAAACTATTTTAGACCTTTATTATTTTATATAAATCTTTGTTTGGAATATGGTAATTTTGAAATGCTCGCTCCGGGCCTATAAGCGTAGCTAATGATTAGATCTAGATTCTAGGTCTAGCAAGAAAAACTAAACATAAGAAGACTTAAGCAAAAGAGTCGTAGAATCTAGACTAGATCTAGATAATTCTATCTAGATCTAGATAATTTCAGACCTTCTTTATTTTATATAAATCTTTGTTTGGCTAATTTAAGATAAAATTTAATTTGAAAGTTACTACTACTAGAACTAGAGTTAGATCTAGATCTATGCGCGTAAGGAGACTCAAAGTATAGTATAAAACTTCACTTATAATGTCAAGAGTAAATAGCTAACTTGGTAGTGAGGTCGGCTCTCATGTGGGTGGCACAGGTTCTAGACCAATTCGTCAATGATTTTTTTTTTCAATTTTTTTTTTTAGATGTGAATAATAAAGTTGCCCATCTGAACTTGGCAGGATACAGGGCTGGTGAAGTAGAGTTTGTCTGTTTCTTTGTCCTAAGCATATGAAAGGATAGTGTGGTCAGAGACATGCTCGGCTGGAATCGTTTTTTAAACGATAAAAACATGTAGTCTGAGACTTGGCGGGACACTGGGCAGGTGAAGTAGAGTTGAGTAGGTCACCTATGAAGTCAGTATATGAAGGGATAGTCCGAAATCGGTGTTTTCGGTGTTTTTAAAAGATAAAAAACAATTTTTTGAAAGTGGGGTCTGTTTTTTTTGACGATAAGTGACACTGCAGTAGCGTAGCGAGGAGGGGGGGGGGGGGGGCGGGGGGGGGGAAGGGGAGGTGGAGGGGGGAAGGGGGGGGGGGGCGGGGGGACATATGTTGGGGCGCCAAAATGGTTTGGAAAAATAAATTGAAAGGTTGAGGGGGGTTCAAATCGAAAGTTTGAGTGGGGGGGGGGGGGGGGGTGCACATCAAAAGTTTGAGGGGGGGGGGGGTTGAAAATTGAAATCTTGGGAGGGGGGGGGGGGTTAAAATCGAAAAGTTTGTCCCCGGGCGCCAGGAAGGGTCGCTATGCCTCTGAGTGACAGACGTGATGTTTTTTGATGGATGACCCCCGAAACCCACAGTTATCCAACGGATGACGGGTATTCTAGTATTCTTATATAACTTGGAATGTAGACATGATTTTTAATTACTTAACTTTTAAAAATAGAATAGAATCTCATAGAAAAAAACATTGCGCACCAAACAAACGCCGAAACAAAATGTGCATAATAGTGCGCAATATTATTAGTACTTTAAAAATTTACATTAGTTTTTTGAGAAATCGGAAGTAGCGTAAATTACTACTTCCGGTCAACGGAAATTACTCAAAATTTAACAGAAGGTAGAGAATTAGATCTTTTACTTACATGTGAAATTTCATTTATCTATCTGAAATAGTACTCAAGTTATAGGCTTTTGAAAAATTCAAAGTAGAAAAAGTACCACTTCCGGTTGTCGGAAATCGCTCAAAAGTTTATACGGATCTACGATTTTGATATAATACTTATATATGAAATTTCATCAACCTAGCTGTAACGGTACTCAAGTTATCGTGTTTACACACAGACACACAGACACACACACACACACACACACACACACAGACATACGGACAAGATTGCAAAATTATGTTTTTCCGTATCAGTGAGGTGTAAAACGTCGAGATTTGTAAAAATCTCGATTTTTTTTTTTTGCACGATTACAATACTTTCTCTATACTACGTATATACGAGAAAGTAAAAACAACCTCGCGGTGCGACTAAGCAAAGAGATACATGGTAAAATGTAGCGTATTCTTAACATGGGTTCAATCGAACCTCAGGGGTTCGGTTAGTCAGTTTCAGGGGTTCGGCAGAGGTATAGACACACACCCGACACATATGATTCACAATCGGATTTTATCGGTGCGGACGATAGAACTATTAAGTAGGGTTCGGTGCATGAGCATATGAAACTGGTGGGGTTCGGTACCTCCAGTCAATGTTACGAACCACTGCTCTAGAGTAAGGTAATTAATTACCGTCATCGCTGCCTGTATATTACTCTGATTGTTGAGGTAGTAATAAGTAAGGGAACACAGGTTCAAACGAAAACTAAGGGGAATCAATCGACTTATTTTCAATCAATAACCAGAACAGAGTTACTTGTTAGTGGTTGTTCGTTAAAAAACACCAAAAGAAGAAATTTTAAACATTTGCTTTTTTTGGAGAGGGTGTGTGTGTGTGTGTGTGTGTGTGTGTGTGTGTGTGTGTGCGCGCGCGTGCGCACGAGAATGTGTGTGTGTAACAGATTTATGATTTTCAATTGGACTGTGCTTAATGCATGCCACCTCATTTAGCTATTTGGATCACTTCCCATTCAGCTAATATCAACTGCTAAATTTAGCCAACATAAAAAAAGAATGAAGACATTATTTCCTTTTTCAAAAAAGTGGTTAAAAAATGTCAGTAAAATTATTTCCGTGTTTATTTTTACGCGAGCATCAAACCATATTTACATCGTGAAAACAATTTTCCCAATAAATCATTTGAATAACGTCAGTTTCAATTTTCACGCGGAACTGTGCCCCTTGTTTCTCTGGCGGAGTTATGCCCCTTGTTTCTGGAGTTATGCCCCTTGTTTCTTGAGTTATACCCCTTGTTTCTCTGGTGGAGTTATGCCCCTTGTTTCTCTGCTCCACACAGCTGCAATATGGATTAACTAGGTTAGCTTAGCCACGACTGCGAACAGCCAATCAAAGTTAATTAACTCTTCACCTCGCAATCGATCGTGATTTATTGATCGATCTAGTTCATCTATTTGCTCTAATCTTCTCAGTTTATTATTGGTAACTTGAGTAGACCTAAACGAGTTAACGAAGTCATTAGCGAGACACGTAATTCTCGGCTTGTTCAAACCGGTGTTTCTTCGTGGCATCTCTCTGAGATGGGCGGGGGCGGGGGAACAGGGGGCGCTGGCCCCTGAAGCACACACCCCCCCCCCCCCAAATCCAGGACGAAATAGAAAAAAAAAATTCATAGTAAATATAACCTTTAAACAGGGCCTGCAACTTCCGAATGTTTCTACTGCATCCCCGGAAGTTTCAAGAGCTCCCCCTTTCACCCCCGTACAAAAATGGCTTATAGACGCCCTGGTTGAAACGCGTGGCTGTTTAACTTACCGTTAAACTATGTTGCGTAAGTTCAACTCCTTACTCTGCCAACAAACAATTTCAGCCAAATCATCTTTTTATTAAATGACTGATAAACTTAAAGAGCAGTAACGCAAATGATATTAGTTTACAATTTAAGGATATTTTTTAAGTTAAAGTGATAACATAACTATTTTAAAGTAGAGGGGGGCTTAAACGAAAAATCAAATCAGTGGTCCACCGTGTAATGTAACGAACACTGAAAAACGTGTGTTGATGAATTTCAAAATATAATGTAGATGGGAGGTTGCTATCTCTGAAATACTAGTTGTAGTTGTATGATAGGAAGGTTAGCAGATAATAGAGCACTCAAGTTATGAGCGACCAAGATTGTAATGACTGTATGACTTATTCATTTTATAGTTTAAATTTAAAAAAAAAAAGAAATGTACTATTTCATTCGGCCTGAGAGGTCATAATAAGCCGAGTCACACTTCTAGTGGGTCGGGGAAGTGGGGGTCGGACTTTAGTGAGATGTATGACAAGAGTGGGGAACGAGTGACGACACGCTTTTACATTTAAAAAAAAAATTCCGTTAGAAATTAAATTTAACCGTTATTTCAAGTAGATTAAATACTTCTCAGACTGCAATAAAAATGTATCTTTATATTAAAAATTTACAGATGTTCATAAATATTTTAGAAAGAAATCTCTCTTCAAAGATAAAATAAACATTGCATGATAACTATCTGCAATTATCTTGACCTAATCGTATGTTTTATATCTATATCATCTATATCTATATCTATATCTATATCTATATCTATATCTATATCTATATATATATATATATATATATATATATATATATATATATATATATATATATATATATATATATATATATATATATATATATATATATATATATACATATATATATACTATGCTACTATCTGAACTCACCAAACGTTGGTACGCCAACTATGGACTACATACTCAGGGTCCTCTCCATGCCGGTCCAGTTCGGTCCGCTGGTCAATAGCAGGTTGTGTCTTGCTGGTGTTCTCGATCTGTGATTGATCTCGTGACATCTGACTTGACATTTGGCTGTCCAGCGTGGCCATTCTGTCGCCAGTGGAGTGGGGGGTCATGACTTGTGTGTACAAAGACGTTTGACCAGCTAAAATACGCGAAAGTTTACAGCGGTCCAGACGTTCGTCTCACTGGTCGAGCAAAAATGGAATTTGTTTATAAGGAATGCATATATGAACATGCATGCATACAAACATACATGGTTACACACACAAACACAAACACACACACACACACACACACACACACATATATATATATATATATATATATATATATATATATATATATATATATATATATATATATATATATATATATATATATATATATATATAAACATACACATACACACACATATATATATAGATATATATACTTTGCACGTATTATATTTAACAACTAGTTCAGCACTTGAAATACAAATAAACTTCAAAATACACTTTGAAACACAAAGCCTTAATATATAAGTACTAAACTCAGCACATGCCACGAAAGAACCGTGTAATCGAGATGGCTATCAAAATGCAGAAAACGTTCCCCTTATTTGAACATATTTCCATACCGTGAACAAACGTGAGTGACACCTCACGACCCCTCCAGACTACGGCCCTGGTCTGCAAGTGTTTATGAAGTCACGAGAGAGTCCATCGATCGGCATACATTGTAGCTTTGACGTACTTAGCAGTGGGGCCCGGAAGCTGGATTGAAACGTCATTCAGCCCCAGTCCATTTATCGATATCCTGCGCCTAAATCCTGATCACGTGAGAGGAATCACACCCTTCTATGGCGACTAAGTAATCAAATGGTAAATTGTTCGATAATCCCGCAGAGGTTTATGACCAGGGTGAAATTAACCTTTGAAATTTGTATTTTTCTTTCCTGACCTGCCGATTTTAATTTGGTCATAAAACGTCTTCAAAGGGGACATAATCACGTGCTTGTGTGAGCAAGAACCACCAGACGTCATATATTAAATACGCTGTAAGCATATCAGTGTATCAAGCAGCGTGGGAGCGGTGGTATCAATGACTTTAGGCTAATAAACAATCCGCCATGTACATTTCCAAGTAACTTCTTAAAAACGAACGCGTCTCAAAATAAATACAAATGGTAGCTGCAGTGAGTTTAATATAAATAGTAGTAAATAGTAGTAAAACATAAAGTGTTAGTTACCTCACAAGTTAAAGACAGTTACAAATACCATGGACGTTTCGAAATAAACAAGTTATTTAAATCATCATCCAGTACGCATAGTGCTTAACACATTCGAGTGCCCATGATTATGTGCCCTTATATCACTAGCATCAGGCCATCGCAGATTATGTTGACATTTTGCCCTATGCCTGGTCTAATTTTTCCCCATCACGATAAGATATAGATCTAGGCCTACCTTAAAGGATGTGGTAGAATACACTTTTGCCCTATGCCTGGTCTAATATTTTCCCCATCACGATAAGATATAGATCTAGGCCTACCTTAAAGGATGAGGTAGAACACACTTTGAGAGTCCGAGAAGGCCTATACAGTAAGCCTAATTTAATCAAATGAATTATATTGTGTAACTTGGGGGTCATCCATAAATTATGTCATGCTTTTTTGGACGATTTTTATATCCCGCTCCCCCCCCCCGTCACACATTATCACAAAAACGCAAGAACCCACTCCCCTAAAATGACGTCACACCTAAGCCTACACCCCCCCCCTCAAAATTGCAGTTGAATTTTTCTTAAAACATCGATATTTTTCCAAAATTTTGTCTAAACTCTGTCAACTTAAAGTATTTTAATCAATTCCTATTACAATTTATATAAAACAGTTTTCTAAAATGCGAAATAACGGCTAAAACTCTTTTTCTAGCATTGCTTTTTTATAATGCAAAAGTGTGACGTCACACCATCTGAACCCCCTCCCCCTCATCACACACCGTCTGAACCCCTCCCCCTAATCACACACCGTCACAAGATTACGGACCCCCTCACCCTACGAGTGTGACGTCATCTATTGACCACCCCTTGATACACCTACTGGTTCCTTCTTCAGCATGATGAATAAATACACCAGACATACACACACACACACAAATATACGGACAAGATTGCAAAGCTATGTTTTTCCGACTCAGGGAGGTGTAAAACGACGAGATTTGTAATAGGCTGTTGAAGTGGAGTCCAAATGGAGTCCTGCCGGTTGGCGTTTTTTTAAACCAAATCTGAATATTTTTATTAAATCTTTTTTTTTAAGTTAGGAAAGCTACTTTCGCTTTTGGCTTCAAAACAAACTCAAGAATTTAGAATCAGAATTTCGTGAATTTAGATCTAGAAATCGAGATAGTAAATTAAAATCTAATCTAGATCTAAATCTAGATCTAGATAAAGAATTGACTTTTCAAATTTTAATATAGTCTAGAATCTAGAATTATATTTAGAATATAACCGACTCGTTAGATTTAGTTTTAGAGTTAAGAGTTTTAGATTTTAGAGGTAGAATAGATTCTACTAGATCTAGACTAGTACAATAGTACTAACTCTAGATCTAGAAATCTAGATCTAGATCTTGATCTGATCTAGGGACCGTAGTCTAAACCGATTTTATTAGAAGAGTAAAGAAGAGGTTGTAAAGTCAAGTGACCAAGTCTAGACAAGAATTAAAGATTAAAGAACTTTAGTAATTATATAATTAGTTAGACTACTAATTAGATTACTAATTAGAATTAGATTCTACTTTAGTGTACTAACTTTACTTAGTACTAAGTACTAGGCCTAAAATTAATATTAATTATTAATGATACGTCATACACTCATACTTTAAGTTTAATTAAGTCTAAAGTTTAAGTTATAAACAGTAGATCTAGATACAATACAATAATATATTATAACAAATCGTCAAATAGTATTATTTACTAGATCTAGGGCCTATGTATTTTATTTAGATCTAGATCTCAGCCTTATTTTAGTTAGACCTAGATCTATAATAATAATAGTATTAAGTATAGGCCTGTTACTGTATATTATATAGACTATAGCGTATTTTCTTTTATAGTGAACTAGGCCTATATGATTAATATGAATACTTTTATTAATATAATAGTAATAGGTGTTAGTATTAGTTTAGTTAGCTAGCTAGTATTTAAGCTAGATTTAGTAATAATAGAATAATTAGCTAGATTTATGTAAAACAGAAACCTTTAGACTTAACTTTTGAATTTAGGCCCATAAATTTTTTTCTAGACTTTCTTTTGCTTAGAAAGTTAAGAACTGATTAAATTAGTAATTAGGCCCTATGTATTAATCATATTATAGTTAATTATAGGCCCCTGATTTAAATTAGGCCTATTTAGTTATAAAGACTTTGCCTTTATTCATTTTAATAAATAGGCCCCTATTTTAAATCAATGCCATATTTAAAAAAAAAAATCCTTTTCCTAGTATTTTTTCTTTTAGTACTAGATCTAGATGTAGATAAACTAGATATTACACGGTGACAGTAGGCTAGACCTAATAACCGTAATTACTAATTAGTCGTCTGCTTAGTAGTTAGTCCTCGTAGAGATAGTTATCGTTATATATATATAGACAAGTTATAGTGTACCAGTATTACTAGATAAAATTCTATATCTAGTAATAGCTCTAGAAATTCCAAATTTGATTTAAGCCCAAAGTGGGCCTAAAAATTGGATTAATCTAATAATTACTAACATTAGGGCCTAATTAGTTTAATTGTAATAAGCTTTGTTTGACTTTGTGTTACTGTCATTGAGCTTTTAGTTTAACATTGAAAATTTAATTCAAAGATTTAAAAAAAAAAATCAGCAACTTCAATTAATCTATATAGCTAGATTCTAGATATTCATACTGTTGTACAAGGCTTACTTAGTAGAAATTAAATATGCTATAATTACAGAATTCTGACTATATCACTGAGAATAAACAGATATGACTAAATAAGCCTAATGTATATTACATTGTTTTAGAAGAATTACTTTTGCTTTACAGTAAGCATGTATTTTTAGTGTCTGTGTACACTAGTTAATATTTATTTTTACTGTTAATGAAAGTATTATTCCACAGATGAAGCATGTTCCACTTGTAATAATATTAATAATGTCTTGTTTTTTTTACTTAGACCAATAAAACAGTTGTGTGGTTTACACTTAAAGTCAGTATCTCAAGCCAGTTACCCTTAATAATAATGTACTCAAGCCCTCAAACCACTTCTCTGGTTTATCAATTGTGTGCTCTACTGCTTGACCAATGAATCCCAATTTAGTAATTGTAGGTCATTGTAAAAATATATATTGAAATATCCTAAATAAATCTTTTATCAAGTGTTAAGATTTATGTTATTTTTATTGAGTGTTGTTTTAATACGTTCTTTGTGTTTGTGTGTGTTAGTTCAGTGATTTTGGAAAGCTGTAGTGATTGAGGAAACTAAACAGTGTTTAACTTGCAAATTTTATTTAAAGCAAAATACACTGGCGCTAGACTGCCATTACTACTAACCCAAAGTCTCAAGTTAAATTGAGGTTTAAGTCAGTAAAAAGTCCCTGTGTGCACCCAGCAATGAGGGGTACCTAACTCACATCAGTGAAAGTAAAGGCATTGTCATAGTGCTGACCACATCATGGCTTTGAATGCCAAGTTCACAGAACAGTTGAACTCTTTGCAATCTGATCCATGGACAAACAGGCTAGAAATAGAAACAGGAACTTTACAACTCTCACTGTTGTTTACAATATTTTCATACACTAACAATAACATTAACAATTACAATCAATAAACAAATTCAATGATTAAGACAAGTTCAATTTTTATTAAATAAATTAATAATTTATTTAGTATTTAAAGATAAAGGCACTTTATTTAATGTAATATTTGTCCCTTAATTTCAGGGAATTTAATTTTTTCCTGCATCAAATATTGTTATTCATAAATTGCAGACTCAGATGAAATCATTCTAAAACACATTTTGATTTCCTATGTTTTGTTGATAGTCTTAGTTAAGGTTGCCTGGAACATGTGTAGGGTACTTTCTTCTGTGTTTACTAGAGGTCTATATGCACTGATTTAATTCAGGTATTCTGAAAAATAGATTTACACACAATATTTATACTTAAAATTTTGTCTCATAATCATAGTTTACATTTTTATACATAATAAGCGTATCAAAAATATAAATAAAATTGCAATCAAAACTAGCCATTAAATCTATAACTTCAGGTCAATATTGACAAATCTCTTACTAAATCTAAACTCTAGACTCTAGATCTAATAACCATAATTCAATGCCTACTAAAATAACTGGGTCTTGCTAGATTTACACATAAACTTCCTACATCTAGATTTCTAAGTAAGCATATGCCTACTACTCTAGTTTGTAGCAGACTTTCTTAATCTTTAGCAGTCAACTAAACTTTAAATCTACTTCTTAAATCAAATCTAGATAGGTTCGCAGTAGCAACAGATGTCAACATTTTAATTTTATTAATATTATAATATTATTATTTATAATTATTGCCTACTAAATTACTAAATAATTCTAGATCTAGATTTCTCTAGACAAGTTGAAGTTACTAACTAGATTTAGCACTGTTGTTAACTAGCTACATCTAGAAAAAAAAATATATAGACTCAGAGACCTACTCACTGGATCTAGAATTATAGAAAAATCTTATTCCGGCTAGTCACTTCGTCATTAATTATTAATTATCATTAGGTCCTATTATTAACTTTTTAATTTATTACACTCACAATTGTTGCATTCACTCTCTAGTCTCTACTAAGTCTACTTCAGTAACTATGCTCAACTGAACTACACTAACATCCTCAGTAGTCTACAGTCTGCACTTAGTTAGACTAGTCGTAGTCACTACTTGTACTTAGAAGTACTTACTAGAATCTAGATTGTAGATATTAGATAGATAAGTACTTGCAATCAGATCTCTACAAACAAACATACACTAAATCTAATCATTGTCATTTTTTATTTAGAGGGATCAGTATAGATCTAGACTCTAGTTAAGGAAGTATAAAGAACAGATTTAGGATCAGGTAGATTGAGATCTATTACTAATAACTATTAGATATCTAGATCTAGTTGCAATATGCTGAAATAAAGTGTAAAGTCGAACTTGATAATCGTTTGTTTACTGTTTACCAAATCGTCCAGTAGGAGTAATGTCCCCTGGGGCTAGGCTTGCTAGGTCTTAGATTTAACTTTTAAAAATAATTAATTTACTTACCGCCACAAAACTTTTCTGTCAGAATTGAATGCAAATACATTACTTCCCAACCGTGCGTACACAATAGACTTGAAATTGTGTATATTTGTTGCATATTGGGAGTTCATGATGAGTTTAAAATCTTGAAGCGAAGTCAAGAAACAAGCAGCCGCCATGTTTTTTTATCAATGGGAATCATGATCGCAAAAATTCATTTAGTTTGAAAAATTTTATCTCTCCCTGGCGGAAGTTTTTCCAAAACTTTGAATGGATTAATGAATTAATATTATTAATTATTTCAAAAATTATTTTCAATAGTTTATCTTGAATTAAAAAATTCAAAACACGTAAAAATCAATACTTAATATTTTGTTTTAATTTTTGACAGCTAAAACATAATTTTAGCGCTTGCCAATTAATTAATATAATTTTTTGAAAAATAGCATGTTATATAGCAAAGTATTACTGCAACACCCATTTTTTTTTTTTGCGCGCGATTATAATACTTCCTCTGTACTTCGAATACGAAAAGTAAAAAGGCAATAAGAAAAATAGTTTTTTTTTTTTGCATGGCGGAGGGGGATGCAACATAGAAATGTATATATTCGATCGGTGTGTATGGGTTCTTGAAATGAAAAACAGAACCACTTATTTAACCCATATTCTGCTAGCGTCCCACTTATGGGACGCTTGTAAAAAAAGTTGCTAAAATTTATTGCTAACTAGTTAAAACACACACTATGTTTCATTGTATTTGAAAATGGCTAGACTATTGAATTTATGTGTGTTTTGTGAAAAAAAATAAATTAGAAAAATGTTATAGTGCCGGATTTGCAGGACTTGTCAAAATGGCGGAAAAAAGAAAACATGCGCACAGGAAAATGCATATCTTCTAAAATATTAACATTTTAAGTGCAAAATACATTTGAAACTTGTAGCAGTACCATATTTCTATCTGATGAAAATTTAAGAATAACAATTTTTTTTTTACTACTTCGTTATATCAAGTGTACAACAAGCGTCCCATAAGTGGGACGCTAGCAACGAATGGCCCCATGTAGATTGTTACACAAACTTCACATTTATTGGACACTAGCGAGAAATACAGATGCAAATGTTTATGTTAAATGGTTATTTATGGTGAAACAATTGTTGACTTTGTTAACTGCTGACTTTGGGGTGTTAAGTAGTATTTATAGATATTTAATTATGACCTTGACCGATATTTATGCAGATTGTTACACAAACGTCAAATTTTTTTGACACTAGCGAGAAACACAGATGCAAATATTTATGTTTAATGGTCATTTATTGTGAAACAATTGTAGACTTTGTTAACTGTTGACTTTGGGTTGTTAAGTAGTATTTATAGATATTTAATTATGACCTTGAGCTATATTTTCTTATATATTATTGTATTAAAAAATTGCAAATATTGAAAAACTTACATTTTATTTTTAAGTTTTCAGAATTACACTTACTGAAGTATTTAATACCATTGAATACAAACTAATTTAGTATTGCTGTAAATTTACTAGCGCGTGATATTAAAATTATAACAAACCAGAATAATAACAATGGCCACGATGTAGGTGAAATGATTCAGTCATGGGGGTTGGTTAACTCTCTTCATATAAGAGAGCTTAAGCTACATATAGCAGAAATGTGAATTAGCTGTGTACAGTTGTCATGCCCCAATAATATTCCCCTCCAAAGGTTCCCAATACCAGTTTTACTTTGTTAACTTTTTAAGGAGATTCCTGGTGTTAGATTGGGAGCCGTTTGCATAGTGAGGTGCATACATGGATGAGAGCCATGAACACTCAATACAAGCCCCCAGAGACTGATCCGGGCCCTAGAAATAAGATGTCTGAGGTCCTAATGTACGTCTGTGAGGGGGGGGGGGGGGGATAGCGAGGGTAACAAAAGAGAAGATGGCTGGATGACATCTGGGACTGGACCGGGTCATCTTATGCAAATTCACTGAGGGCAGTTTCTTGCAGGCATCATTTCGGAGGAGGGGGGGGGGCTCTGCCCCCAGAACAAAATGGAATTTATATACAAAACATACTTTTACCAATGTCCACCCTTCCCCTGAAATGTAAGCCCCCCCCCCCCCTTGCAAATTTCAAGTACGCACACCAAAAAATCAATTATTTATATTTAATTATATTACAGTTTCGATGAATAATAACAATATTTGTGATCATGTGTGTCTAATTAGATGTACCAGTCACAGCTTTACTTATTTCCAAGTGTAATTCACCTTGATGGATGCTAGATTGAAAGAAAACTAGACTTTTGAACATAATTTCTGCATTTTAGACCATGGTATGGCTAACCCAATTGATCATTATCAGTATTTTTAGCTGTCCTTAACAATGTAATCATTGGTCTAACAATACAAAATCAGTATACAGCTTAATTTTCGCGTGAATAGCCATATTTCGTGATAAATGATTTTATGGGACGTTTTTTAAAAAATCGATATTTAAAAAAGTATTGATTTAAAAAAAAAATCCATAGTCATTCCTTCATTCAGTGCCCAAAAGCTAAACCATATCAAAAAATTATAAAAATTTGAGACCTTGGGATAATATGGGTTAATAAATTAACAAGAAACAAAAATTATCACACACAAAAAAGCGAAAGGTTTGTTAATTTTAATAATTAAATATTCGCCATAAAATTCATGAAGACCCCCCCCCCCCCCCCCTTTCCCCGCAGAAACAAGTATATGATATTTTTTAATTATTAGTAATACACATTATGTAGACCTCTAATAATTCAACGAATATATTTTACAATAACTTCTTGTTTTAAATCAACATCATAATTTATATTACCCTTTTGTGTAAGGCCTAATGTTTTTTTTTTGTTAATTTGTTTTGGGTCGTTTTTAGGTTTATGATTTTAATCATTTTAAAAATATTTCTTACTTCCCTTTGTACATGATCTAGAATTTTCGCGATTTTGTTTACTATAACGACAACATGGATTCATTATCGGAACCTTTAACATGCTACAACAAAGGGTGTGGCAAGAAATTTAGATTTGATGAAAATTCTGAAAGTGAGTTGATCTAGTGATAAATGAAAACGTTTTATCCAGTCAAACTTTATGAAGCAGTAGATTTTTAACAAAGTTTTAAGTTTTTTTCCCCACAGAGATGTTTAAGACAAGAGACCACCACCCGAACCGGCACCACATGATTTTCGAAATAAAACATTCCTTAGTCCAGAAAAAAAAAATAATTGCCGCCGTAGTCGATCACAAGACTTTCTAGATCTATTACTTTTTTTACTAGATCTAGATCTAAAGTAAAGTTAGATCTACTGTCTGTGTTAAGTAACTTAATATAAAGACTTACTAAGTCACTTAGGCCGTAGGGTAGGCCTAACAGTAACAGTAACAGGGCCTAACTTATTTTTAGTCTATTATTAGGCCTAATTAAATTAATTATTGACGAGCTGACCCACTGCGAATCATACTCCTCTATTTAGTTGTTTTATTTTCTACTTATCAGTACTTCATAGTTAGTGAATTTGACACTATCCTCCCTTCCATTTTCCCTCCCCCGCCACCAATGAAAGAAGTCGTCTGTTAAGATAATTTACGGACGACAATGAAAAGATCAAGCAGAACTTCTTACCTCTCTTTAGTTTCAAATAGTTTAAAAGCTAAATTATCTGCCCCAAATCTGTTACTAATTCGAATCTTACTAATCTTAACTCACCAGAATGGTGGGGATGGAAGCTAGTATATGCCTAGAGAGCGGGGGAGTAACAGCGTGCTTTTACATGGTAGTGTCTCGCATGGTCCCCATAAAGAGAATTATATATATAGATTGTGTTGTTGGCTGGGGTTAAATATCTTAAATAGGAAAAAATGAAGAATTTCAATCAATTTAGAATATTTTAGATGTTGCTAATGAATGCTAAGGGCTAAAAACGGCTAATTAAATTAGTGATATTACATTAGCCGGCCTATAATTTTAATTGGATCTTTTAATTTGGTAAAGTTTCTTTTGTATTTTAGTTTGTAGAATAGTTGGCCCTAAATTTTTTTTTTTTGGTTAGGCCCAACTTTTTTTTTTTTTTGGTTACTTTGCTGTCTTTATGACACTTGTCTTGAATATTGAATGTCTTGTCTGGTTATTGAATATTTGCTTTCTCTGGAGATTTCTGAGTCCTTTAGGCCTATACTTTATGACTTATTTTAATATTTTATGTTAGTCACGCTATATTTATAGTTTTCTGGACTAGGTAAAAGGCAAAACTACTAAGACAGAAACTAAATTAATTTCATTAGAGCAATGCACTTTGATATTGAAATACAAGGTAGTTAGATTTGCTCTAAAGTACCTTGGGTGAAAATTCAACATAGATCTACTTATTGAATTTAAAAGTTAAAAGTTTGACAAGCATAGTTGAGGTTGAGGGTAATTAGTTTTTTGCTTATGTTATTGTCCTGCTTTAAACAGCCAAACCAGTAGAAAAAAATCTTGATTGGCTGCTGTTGCCTACATTTTTCTTGCTGATATCCATATAGATTATACTTCTTTAGTTCTTAGCTTAACAGTTATGTTGATATTGTACAATTTTTTTTTTATGTAGGTTGTTTTAATAAAGACAAAATCTTTTAAAAACTGAGTTAAATATTCTGAATAGCTCATCAAGAATGCAATCGCTACAATGCAATACAAATCATCAATTTATTTTTAGATGCCTGTGTTCATCACCCTGGGGGCCCAATATTCCATGACGGTCGACAAGGGTGGTCATGCTGTAAAAAACGTGTTTCCGACTTCACAGAATTTCTTAATATTAAGGTAGGAATATTATAATTTTAGCGATTACATTTAAATATATTAACATTTTAATGAATGGAATATTATTTGAGTTGAAGTTGATTAATTTGAAATTAATGATTATTAATTTAAAGTTAATGATTAATTACTATGTACCTTCTAGGGCTGCACAACAGGTTATCATAGTAATGTCAAGCCTGCTGTACCAGAAAAAGCTGAAAAAACTCCGGTGCAGGTAATTTGTTTTTTCCACATTCAGTTACATAAAGAATATTGTTTTCAATTACTAAACTTTTATATATTGAAGTAACAAACAACAGTATGACATGAATTAATTACTTGTTACGCTATTTTCTAATTTTACATGGACTTAAATTGAATAGTTCATTGTAATATCACTAGATGACATAAGCTGTGTATTGATGCAACATTTTTTTTCTCTACACTGAATCTTAACATTTACTTTTTATCTGACTTTTCCAATCAACTAAATAAGTCTAAAGAGCCGATGTATCAACTGGAAGTGAAGCCCCAACATCGGCCTCCAAACCCAGTCCTGGCTGAGAGGCCATCTGAGGATGAGCCTTTGGTGGAGTTAACTAAGACAGTAGGTGCATCACTCAAGACACAACTTGAAAATTTGAACCTAAATGACAGCAGTGATGCTGCACTAAAAGATGGTATGTTGAATTCATAATTTATCTAATACGAGCCGGCCCGCGGCATAACATATGCTGCTATTTAGTTGTTGTTTTTTCTACTTTTCAGTAATTCATAATTTGTGAATTCGACGGTACCAATGCTGACACTGAAAATATTTCTTTAAAACACTATAAGTAGCTCGTTAAGGACCATAACCGACCCCCCCCCCCCCCCCCAACATTTAAAATCGTTTCAAACTAAATTATCTGCCCCTAATAGCCGTCACTAAACCCGACTCCACGAAGGTAAACACAGCGTGAACCACAGCTCACTAAGACCATGTAGGGGTGGGGATGGTAGGGAGCGCGTTTACAGCTTGTTTTCTAGCGTCTCCCAGAAGAGAATTATATATATAGATACCCCCATACATTCATAGCGTAATCATACTTTATACTTACCAGAAAAGGGACTAAATTCAGCATTTAATCATCATTTTCTAAAATATTTTAAACACAAGCATAAATAAAAAGGGGAAAAAAAAACTGAGGAATAAGACAATGTATTTTTTAAAATTAAAAATATATATATATGAAATCAACCTAAAATGTTAAGTCAAAACTGTTGCCAAAATAATTTTTGTCTTATACCCAAAATTCTAGTTACAGTAAACCTCTTAATAAATTATGTAGCTTAAAATTGTTAATATTAACACAATTTTTGTTTGTTTTCTTATTTTTTTCCCTCCTTTTCTTATTGTATGGTTATTTGTAAACTCCTTTTATTTGCCCAGATGGTACAATAAAAATTGGAACCTGTTGTAACAACAAAGGCTGTAAAGCTGTAAGTTTTCTTTGTTAAATGGGTAAAAAAATTTTTAGTTACTACTGACAAATTCAACTGCTGTTTTGGTATAAATGTTTCTATCCTTGTTTTTTAGTTTTAATGTTTGGACTCTTGTGTTGCAGTGAAATGTTACCAGACTTGAGAAACTTGATGATAAGTTGGCTTTTATCTTATTTCAGTCCTATGAGGGGGAGCACAGTAACACTGAAGACTGCATTTATCATTCTGGAGTTCCAGTGTTTCATGAAGGGTGCGTCATAGAGTTTATCATTGTTTTAGCTGGTTTATAGGAATCTTTTCAGTTCAGTCAACAAACAGTATTGTTTTAACTATTATAGCTAAATGAAATTTAATTTAAGCTTATGTTCATATTTTTTAAGTTTATAATTACAAAGAATTTTGTAATTGTCTTGTGTACCCTCTCTTGTATGTAGCTAGAGTAAAGATATAAGAGTAAGTTAATACTAGAGTTCTAAAAAACAATGAGTAATCTTATTTTATTTATTCTTTCCATCTCTAGTCTATTACTAATATTTGTTTATAAAAGCATAAGTATTATCTACCATTTGTTAGATTGTATCTAGAGGCCTAACATTTTTGTACAATTATATAATGGTTCTGATATTTGGCTTTCACCTTGTTCTTAGAATGAAGTATTGGACTTGCTGTCAAAGAAAAACAACTGACTTTGATGTTTTTTTAAACCAAGAAGGTTGCGAAACAGGACGGCACAATTGGCACAAACCTAAGGTGAAACTTATTTGTTTCTTCTTCTTTCAAGATCACTGCTAATCGAATATTTCACCTCTCACTGGTCGATACGGGCACTAACCTACAGATTAGCTTTCTTTTTTATTTCCTTTTTATTGATCACATTTAATGGGAAACTTGACCTTTCATTGACTGATCTCTTTTATTGCTGTGTGCAGGTGACAGAAGAAAAACAAGTTCGTGTTGACTGGCATCAGACAACATCCATTGTATGTATATCCATCTTTGCCAAAGTGGCCATTCCAGACAAGACAATAGTGAAAGCTAACAGGGTCAAATGTCAAGTGACTCTAGTCTATGAAGGTGGGAACAGCATTTACCAGAAAGATTTTATACTCAGAGAGGTAAGCTTGTCATATTAGTACCCAAATATATTGTAAACTATAGGATAAAAAATTATTTAAACAATTTTATGCTGGTCTAGCTGTCAGAAAAATATCGTACATTTACTTTTAGGCAAAGTGAAAGCTAAACAAATTTTAAATATTTCAATGCATCTTCCATAACTCTTTTCTCACTAGGCTATCGACCCCCTGAAAAGTTCAGTGAAGCTTCTGGGGACAAAAGTGGAGCTTGATCTAAAAAAAGCTGAGGCATTTTCCTGGCCAACTCTTGAAGTTCCAGCCACATCCTCTTAGTTTTCACTTAACTAATTTTATACTCGGTGTTCATTCATAGTTCATGTTATCCCTCAAGTTTTGTTTTAGAAACAGATTACAATCTTCCTGCATCCAATACAAACAGTATTGGTTTACCCTCATAAGTTTTATAGTTGTTATGAAATTTTTTGAGTAATACACTGTTAAAATTTGTTTTAGGGTTATTTTTAGAAAAAAAAGTCTAATCTCATGTGTTTGAAGTTAAATAAGTTTAAACTTTTCATTTCCTGATCTCTCTTGACACCAGTATCACAACTTAAACTCTTGTCAATGTATTTGCTTAGTTAAGACAAAGCACACAATTATGTTGTTACTTACTGTATGGATGTAATGCTGCAAATGTATTGCTGCCTTAAATTCTGTTCTGTTGAGTTTATTTGTTAAAGTTATAATGTCAACTTTTAAAATGGAAATTCAAACCCTGTTTTTTTTTTAAAAACCGGTTAATAGTATTAACATTTAAAATGTATTAGCGTTTATATTAAAACACATTTTTTAAAATGAAACTGTTGTACATTTTCTTAAAATTGTAGCACATTTAGTAACTACAAAATTATAAAAGCTGTACTGTAAGATACAAACTGACATAAAATTTTGCAGTGTCCTCTTGTGTTGTTTGGTTTATAATATAAGCATTGTAATTTCAACCATTTCCTTACATTAAATCACACGTGTGTGTGCCAGTGGCTAAATTATGGAAATAGCTAGCAACTCAAATTTTAAAATGTAATGTACAGGGCTCTAATAAGCTTGATATGAAAGGGAAATGAATGCGATTGGGCAAAGCTGCCTCATGCCAGTTTTTCTCTCATACCCTTAATGTATATTTCCATAGCAATGGGAAGTGATTTAGTTGCCAGAAGTAAATCTTTGTGAGAACTACTAGAAAATGAGAGCACAGAAAATGAAAGTAATTTTAAGCTTATCAATTTGTCATGTGTTGCAAGGGGTAAAATATAAAATGATAACAAAATTATACCCATTTTATTTTCATGAACTTTTAACAAGATTGTTTAATTCAAAACATTTTTTTGTAAAGCATTTGTTGGAGAAAAAACTTGTTTAATTCAAAACATTTTTTTGTAAAGCATTTGTTGGAGAAAAAACTAACACTTAGCAAGTACATTAACCTCAGGTTTAAATGATAACAATTAGATTGCCAGCAATTTATATCTGTTGGTCAATTCCATACATAATCAACATTCAACAAAAGAAAAAGCGCCATTGTAAAATATATCACTCAATTAGATATGGATCTCATGATGAATCACTAAAACATCAATGACAAATGTTAGGGAATAAATAAAAAACAAAGCAAGATTGTAAAAGAAAGAAAATCTTCCAAAACATAACTCATAGACTACACCTTAGTGAGACTATTTGAAAAGGCAAGACATCAAAAGAAAACGTGTAGCCGTGTTCATCTTGTCGGAGCTTGATGTCCACTTCCCTGTCCGTGTCATGCAGGTGCAGAGAATCTTCCAGACCATTGCATGCATGGACGTCCTTCAGTGTTAGGTGTGTTTGGACATTTACTGTAGTGCTGCCTCCATAGGCTTCGTGTAACCTCAGTATGATTGTCTTGCTGCCATCTTCAGCCTAAAGAACAATGTTTTTAGCAGTAAATTCACTGGATCAATGAAAGTTCACAACACAGACCTAAAGACTCTTGCTTGGGAGGGGGAAGGAATTGTTATTGTTATAGATGACATGTAAACAGAAGTAGACCTATAGCTGAAAGTTGAACTGACTGAAAATAAAACTCAGACTAGGAATTGAAAGTTACAAACACCCCCTCCCCCCCCCCCCCCCCCCCCCCCACTTTACCCTAACTACAATTTCACTTTTTTGTGAAAAGCATAAAAGTTTGGGCATAATTGTAATTCATTACTTTGGTATCCAAAATTACAAGCAAAACCATACAAGTAAGGGGGGCTGTGCTGTGTGTATTTAACAAATAATCTGTAACAGCCATAAGAATAAGGTAGATTAACTGATGTGCAACAAGTTTTACCATTTTAACAGCTTGAACAACAACTTGTTTTGTATCAACTGTGAAGAGCCCTTGGGAGACAAATGGCTCCAGATGATTGGAAGATGGGCCACTAAACAATCTCAGTGGACAGTTGAAGGCCACAGCTATCTGGATGACATCAGATTCCTGGAATGTGCCTGTGTTGGAGTTTTAAAAAAAATATCTCCATCATTAAAAACAGAAACTTTATTTCTAGAATGTTAAATACCTGAAAACATAATTTGTGAGACAAACCTATTTTAATAACTACAAAATTGTCATTGCTAAAGTTAAAACATATTTTTAAGTGTTTCAGTGGCTGCTATAGATCCCAAAAATGATTCAAGCCTTATCTTTTTTTTTGTTGGAAAATAAAATGACTTTTAACCTTTAAATTTGATGTAGAGCTACTTTCTTATCTTGTAGTAATAGTGATTAATAGTTCTAGTCTAAAACAGCAAAGCAATTGATACAATATTTAGCACTGCAAAAAATTACCCAGACAATAAAAATAAATTACCAATATGTGGCATCAGAGCGTAAGAGAATGTGTGGACTCCCATGTCAGCCTTGGGGTCTGGTGTTTTGGGTGATCTTAGCCTGGAAATAATGAACAGAAATCAAAATGTATGCGCTCTACCAGGATATTTTAAAACTTAGCACTCACATCAGTAATATCTTCAAAAGTACTTTTGAACAATAATGATCATTGCAATTTTCTCCTATGGCAATAGTGTTTTGACAGAATAGTTTTAAATATTCAAACTAAAATGATTTATGTGGTAGATTTAAAATACTGATGCCAAGTCAAACAAGTTAAATTGTTACTATTAAAATAAGATTTGCGTATATAATTCTTAGTTTTAAGTTTTAAATAAATTTTTCTCTTACATGCTTTTAAGTAGTTGAGAATTTTTAAAAATGCAGTCTACTAAGAAATCAATGTTATACTCACAGAGAGAGACGCATGACTCCATCAACTACTGAGTGACCATATTTGCAATTGTTTATCACACTGACACCAAACCCATGTTCAGATAGGTCAACCCACTTGTGTCCACACACCTACACAATTCAAAACAAAACTTTTTTATTTAATATATTTACTTATATCTTTGTATTTTCATGCTGTAGGCCTACACTTCTGTTAAACTATGCCTCCCTTGCTGTTGTCCATGCCCTTGATCCCACAAGAGGAACCAATAAAATTTAAGTGTTTAACTAAAATAAACCGGGAGTGATCTCCCCTAAACTTTCTCGAATATTCTAATATAAAACTACGAGGGATGGCAACTCATGACATAGACAATATTTGTAATCCATTTATAATTACTTAAACTTTTTATAATAGAATCTCGTAAAAAAAAAGAATTGCACACCAAGTGAACGCCTAATAAAATGTGCATAATAGTGCGGGATATTATTAGTACTTTAAAAATATACGTGCGTTTTTTGAGAAATCGGAAATAGCGTAAATTAGTACTTCCGGTCAACGGAAATTACTCAAAATTTGACAGAAGGTAGAGAATTAGATCTTTTACTTACATGTGAAATTTCAATTATCTATCTGAAATAGTACTCAAGTTATAGGCTTTTTAAAAATTCAAAGTAGAAAAAGTACCACTTCCGGTTATCGGAAATCGCTCAAAAGTTGATACGGATCTACGATTTTGATAAAATACTTATATATGAAATTTCATCAACCTAGCTGTAACGGTACTCAAGTAATCGTGTTTACACACGGACACACAAACAACTGACAGAATTGCAAAGTCCAGTTTTAAGACTCGATAACGCATAAAACGCCAAAATGTTAATATATTTGTATTTATAATTTTTGCCTGATTAAAATAAGTCCTTTATACTCCGGATGTGATGAAGGACTGAGGAGTAAAACGGTGAAAACTGTCAAAATTTCATGTTATTTTTGTGCACGATGACAATACTTTCTCTATACTTTGTATATACGAGAAAGTAAAAAGGTAAAATGGTTTTACATATGGTTTTACTCAAGGTTTTTTCCTTACTGATTGTAATAATGATAATCTAAGTAAAAATAAGCACCAGACCTCAAATCTAGCAGAGTCCCATGAAGTGTTGTAATGATTAGGTCGTTTGAGGAATCCACTCTGGATGTCATATGTGGCCTCTGTGGCATGTACAGTTGTGGGGAACTCTACCTTGAGGAACTTGTGCGCTTCATACCAACTCACCTGAGATGTAACATTTTGTAGCATTATGTGATTTTAAAACAAGTTTAAAATGAATCATATGGTTGCTACCATAAACAACACATTCATTCAGCACGTACACATCAATGTAACAGTGATCAGATCAAATTATGTTTTTCCACTCAAAATGCAGTTGATTGCTTTAAATATTTTAACTTCAATATAAAATGTTATAATAACAAAATTATAACTTGAATAAAAGTGGTTGTTTTAATACAATCATAACTCCTGTAAGACAGCTGTTTTAGGAACTAACTTGCAGGTTATTATAATTTAACCCATTAACGTCTTCACACAACACAAAAACACTAAGGAGAAAATAAACATTACTGTGAGGGTTGATGAATATCCAAGAAATACACAACACAATTGCAGTTAGATATCACAGTCCTTTATTTCTCTATCCTTCAGGCACCAAATCAACCTGCCTTCTTTCGTGCCCAACCTTCCACTGCCCGCCGCATTCATTCCTACACACCACATTTCTCTCGCTCACCACACAGCCACTGTCACCCGACCAGTCGCTTCCCTTGTACCCTCGTTCACTCCGTACAACAACATACACGTCAACACACCCGGCCTCGCGTCACACTACAAGCTACATACACACACGCAGTGACCCGTTCCACGTATTCACCTTTCATACACATTACATCACCACACACCCTCCATCTGTCCCTAGCTGATGCAATCAGCGGAATTATCAACACAGAAACAAAAAAAAGAAAACCAACAATTCAACAGAATATGTACATATTACATTCCAGATAATAGCTACATAGTAGCTCTATATAGAACATTTGAGATATGTTAAAACATCACACATAAACGACAACCGATTGTTGGCTCGACACCACCCGTAGCATACTTTTGTTGGGTACAATCCACCTTCAGTCTCTGCAAGAACATCATCATTTACATTTCTCGTATATAACAATTAACAATATACATACATACGACAAAAAACCTTAACAAAAAGGATACCGGTACTTGTTTTAAACTTTGGATACGACGTCGATTTTTCTCTCCTTCGATACAACTTGTGGAAGGACGCCATGCTACATAATGTATATTGTATAACAAATGTCTTACACGTGTTGTCTCACCGCCGTCTTGTTGTGTGCTCCGTCCCAGACTGTGACCAGATCAAATATCACCTTACCGCTGCATTAGAATGATAGTTTTGTGGTATTGTCTCTCTCCCGATATCATTCCCGATGATTACGTCGAATGATCCTCGTTCGAACACTAAGGCTCGGACTTGTCCCGTCACATACGGTGATTTAATGTTTATCAGTGCTATCGGTAGGCGTATGACCGTGCCACCAAACACCTCTACCATTTTCCATTCGCCCGTGTATTGGTGCTGTTCAACATAGCTACTTTTTACAGCAATAGTAGAGCACCCCGTGTCTCTCACCGCCTCTACCGTATGAGCTCCCACATTCACCATTAGCGTTGGTATTTTCGGTGTGATCTGTAGTAACGGTGCTTGTTCTACACCCTCCTTATCTGGACTACTGTTGTAATCATTGTTATGATTTCCGTCCTGCCGCGGTCTATGTTGTTGGCTGTAATAACTGTGTGCCGCAGGAGTGTTTGTGTCTCTGGGGTATTCTTGACCCGCCGCCTGGTTATTGACCCCAGCGTTTGAATTTCTATGCGGACAGTTCCTTCTCATGTGACCTGGTTGTTGGCAGTTAAAACACCTCCCAACGTATCTTGTGCCGTTGGTTTGTGTTCCATATCTCATTGGCCGACGATTGTCATATCCGTAGTTTCCTGCCTCTAGACCAACATACTCCGCTGTATCGCCTGTCGCCTTCGCGTAGAATATTGATTCATACTCTGATTCTTTGTTAGCTATTGGTCTATCCGTGTGTGCAACAATGTACTTTTGGCAGTGGTCAGTGAGTTCCTTTAGAGTGGTGGGCTTCCTTTCCTGTATGTAACTTAGTAACTGCTTATCTACTGAATTTAATACTTTGTCTATCAACATGAATTCAATTATATTCTCCACTTTCATCTCCACTCTAGCCGTTTCTAGCCACTTCATAAACGTGGTTTTTAGATCCAACACGTAGTTCTTGAAGTCCTCCGCATTGGATGGTAGTCTGTTGTGAACCTTTTTTCTATACGAGTCTTCATTATGTAAGAAGAACTCAAGGAGAGTTTCCTTTAATGTTCTGTAGTCTTTCATTTGATCCTCACTCAGGCCCTGACATGCATCCAATGCCTTCCCTCCTATTAAGACAAGGAGTTGAGTTCCCCACTGCGTATTGCTCAAGCCTGTCGTCCTCGCCACTGTCTCGAATCTCCTGATGTACGCATCTATGTTTTCCGAATCTTCCTGAAATTTCGGCAACTTTGATAGGATGTTTTGATGGTTCATGTCTATGTGTGGTATGTTTTTCATACCTTCATTCTTCATTCGTGCCAGTTCGAATTCCTGCCTTTCTTTTTCGATCGCTGCTTCCGCCTTCATTCTTTCCACCTCTATTCTCGCTTCCGCTTCCATTTTTTCTTGCTCCATCTTCATTCTTTCCACCTCTATTCTTGCTTCTGTCTCCATCTTTTCTCTTTCCCTCCTGCACCATCTGTCCCTCCTTTCTTCACTCTCATTCATTCTTTTCTCCACCCACTCGTCCAACTTCTCTCCCTCGTATCCGTTGCTTTTGCCCAGTCTATACATCTCTGACAAACTCATTGGTTCCTCCATAATTCAACTAATTCAAAAACTCAAAAAGTTGTCACTTACAGGAGATCTGTTCTATTCCCCAATTGTGGGTCCCGCAGCTCCACCAAGTGTGTGAGGGTTGATGAATATCCAAGAAATGCACAACACAATTGCAGTTAGATATCACAGTCCTTTATTTCTCTATCCTTCAGGCACCAAATCAACCTGCCTTCTTTCGTGCCCAACCTTCCACTGCCCGCCGCATTCATTCCTACACACCACATTTCTCCGCTCACAACACAGCCACTGTCACCCGACCAGTCGCTTCCCTTGTACCCTCGTTCACTCCGTACAACAACATACACGTCAACACACCCGGCCTCGCGTCACACTACAAGCTACATACACACACGCAGTGACCCGTTCCACGTATGTACCTTTCATACACATTACATCACCACAATTACCTCAGTGTGGAACACTAGACAAGGACTGCCAGCATCAAGAACAATCTCCTGTTTCAAGTAACTCTGGTCACTGATCTTTAGGCTCATCTACAGAAATAGTTTTTCAACACTTATTTACATCAAGTATAACCAAAAGTAAAATTTCCAGATGTCTGAAGTGGGTAAATTAACAAGAAATAATAGCTGACAAAAACAACTTACAACTAGTGCCACTCTTGACCTACTTGTCTCCTCTTCAATAACAATTCTTTGAATTGGAGTCTGAATAATTTTTCTAAAAAATCGGGAGGGAAATGATAATAAAATGTCTTTATATTAGACATGATGAAAGTTGAGAATAGGTATAGGAAAGATAATTAGACACATATACAGTGCATGGTAACAAGTGTTTTAAATGATCTCACCTTGTTTCTAAGTGGTAGTCCATAACATCCCAGGCATCCCAATACAAGGGGACATCATCATAGATCAGAAACTGGTTGGCTGGATAAGTGTGATCTACCCCTTCTTTAGACCATCTGAACATAAGGGATAAATATCTCATGATACAGAAGAAACGGGTTGGCAGGATAAGTGTGATCTACCCCTTCTTTAGACCATCTGAACATAAGGGATAAAGATCTCATGATGAATATTTCATTATACAGAAGAAACTGGCTGGATAAGTTATCTACCCTTCTTTAGACCAGCAGATTCCAAACTACATGGCACATCTCTGTGACAGGCACAGACTAGTGCTAATTTAAGAGAGATTGTACAGTATTCAATTTTACAGATGCCAGTACATTTTTTAAGTCATAATAATACTGTGTCACCCAGATACTAAATAAAAGAGGTTTGCAACAAATCAGCTAGTAAATTATAGGATATTTTCATATCTTTGCTGACCAGTAAGATTCATTTATCTTTGAAGGTTTATATGAGTTAATTTTTAAAAATGTTCTAGGTCGAAAAATCTGTGGTAAGAATCGTCCAGGTATCAAGTTTTGTATAAAGGTTTGTTTGCAGACTGTTGGAGGCCTGTCATCTAAAAAAAGGCTCAGAATACTAATAATATCTCAAGTTCTTTGTGAAAAGTTTATCAATTAACTGGATACTACACTTGTTGTATAATAAATACTTCAAATGAAGTAAATTTAAGATGCTTATTTAATAGGATCTATTAGTTAAGTTGAAAAAACACATTTGAAAACTCCACTCACAAGGAAGAAACATCCATTGAAACTTTTAATAGAATTGTGACATTTTTGGTGTGAAGTGACAACACTTGTACAATACTTTACAGCACAAAGCTATTGTGAAGCACTGCATACTTCAATAAGCAGATCTTTGTAAAATTAATATAAGCAAGGAGCTTATCTACATTTTTACATTGTAAATTTTGCCAAGACTTCTATCCAATTATATTGTGAAGTGTGATAACTTTTAAATAGAACTATAGTAAAAAAAAAATTCTTTTGAACACAAGGATGAGAATTGTTTTTCAAATCATAACAAAGGGTCTAATATACTTTAGAATGAGAATTCATAAAGAAAGACAAGACACAATTTATGAAGACGAAAAAAAGAAGATCAAATTTAGTAAAACATATACATGTATCTACTTTCAAGGGATTCTACATTTTTACAGTTGGCTTGAGAGGAAAGCTAAGTGTTGAATGAACAATGAGAAAATTGTAAATCTTCATCTATTAAGCATAAATATTACACTATGTCTATAAAACAATGCCAACATATCAATTTAAAAAAAAATGTCATATAATATTGAATAATTAATATAATAATGTATTACATTATACTTAAACATGTTAAGGATTTTTACATTGTTAAAAAAATAGTTTGAAATACCAGAAATATGTATTTGTTGTTTCCCATATATCATTTCAAAATAAATAATAATATCCAAGGGAGAAAACCTATAATTATGCTCCAAAGAAGTCATCAAATATAAGGAAATTCAGTAGGTGTTTAATTAGAAATCAAGATTAATTGTTTATTATTTCATTAAACAGATATATCTACATCTTTAAATGAAAGCTTGTCTATTCTTATATTTCATAGTTTTTAGAATGATTAGTTGACTATAGTTTAAATAGAAAACCATTCACAAAATTTGATTCCTAGTTCTTAGACATGTAAAATTTAATTATAATAAATGATTAAAACTACATGTTATGGCAACTTTTTACTTTCTTCTAAACAAAATACTTTTTAAAAAAATATATATACAAAATATTTAGAAAGTATTGTAATCATGCAAAAAAAAAAAGTCACAATCTTTTACTGTAATTTCATTTATCAGGATGATATCAAATTTGTAGTTCTGTAACAACTTTTCTGCAATTTCCGGTAACCTGAAGTGGAACTTATTCTACTTTTAATTTTTCAAATGCCTATAACTTGAGTGCTGTTTCAGATAGATGAACGAAATTTCACATATAAGTAAAAGTAGTAATTTACGCTATTTTCAATTTCTCAAAAAAACGCATGTGAATTTATTAAGTACTAATAATATTCTGCACTATTATACACATATTATTTGGCATTCACTCAGTGTGCAATTATTTTTCCTACGAGATTCTATTTTATTTTAAAAAGTATAAGTAATTAAAAATCATGTCTATAATCTGAGTTGCCATCCCCCGGAGATCATTCCCGGTTGATTTAATTAAAAAATAACAATACTGTGAATTTCAATAATACCAGAAATTTGTGGTTAATAGATGAAACATGATATTCAAAGGACAACTCTCTGGCAGATGAGGCTCATTAGCTGGGGACAGCCACTCTTCTAGGAGAGACAACTCCAAAATTAAACAACTGCTGTCTTGTAGTTTGTTCTTGGTTGGACAAAGGCTATGGAAGCAAATCCAAAAAGAAAAGCAGGCTGAAATCGGAGTCAATGGCCTCAATGGCGCATAACCAGTTGACACGTAACGCTTAATTGTGTTGGAGGCGTGGTCGAGTCGGCAAAAAGCTCATGGTTGATAAATTCGAACAAAGTCTCGAGTTCAAACCCACTGGCAGATAAATCTCGATCCCCTTCAACACTAATAATTAAGAACGAAGAAGAAGAAAGGACAACTGCCAGTTGATAAAAAGCTTGCAAAGATGTTCATGGCACATCAATAAAAAAATTTTATAGTATGATTTCACAATTCATTTCTTCTTTAATTTCATAGAAAATCACACTTAAGACCACTTAAGGGATAAATCTGTCTTGCACAAGTTTGTCTTATTTGGATTTCACCGGACTTGCTTTAATTCTTCTTTAATTTCATAGAAAACCACACTTAAGACCACTTAAGGGATAAATCTGTCTTGCACAAGTTTGTCTTATTTGGATTTCATAGGAAACTAAATTTTAGACCTCTTAAAGGATAAAACTGTCTAGCACATGTCTTCCTCTTTTTTGTTCCTTATTGTAGAGTTGGACAGGATTTCCTCCATCACAATTAAGTATTATGTGTCAACACATAAAGCACCTTATGGCCTGCTGACTTCAATTTCAGCTTGCATTTCTTTTGGATGTGCTTCCATTGCCTTTGTCCATCCTAGAACAAACTACAAGGCAGCAGTTGTTTTGGAGTTGTATCTCCTTGATGGGTTACTATACTCAGCTTGTGAGCCTAGTCTACTTGAGGGCTTAGATCTTTTTAATTTAGCAGCCATGAGCTTTACTGCCCCAATCACATGACCCTTTATATTATTATGTCCATTTGGTTAGATTATAAAATAAGATTCATTAGTGGAAGAAGTTGAAGAAAAGAACATAAAGATAAAAATGACAGCTTACTTTTGCGTCAGCTTGTCAAAACATTTCAGTGAAGTTACTCTGCCGAGGGGGTCAACAACTGCCTTAATTAGCCCATTGGTCATTACATAGTGGTCATCCTAAATAAAAATTTCAGTTTCCAGAAAGATATGGTCAAACAATAAAGGATAGGGTTGCTATCAGAAAGCTCTTATTATAACATGTAGATATGGCAGTTTTATTATTATTTTTGGCTGACATTCCTCAGCTTATAAAGTTTAAAAGGGCACTAAACAAATCTGATAGAATCTGTTCTGAGTACACTATACTACAAGCTATATTGAAACTTAACAGATAATGTGGGTTAATCTCATGTGAAATGATATGTGTGAATAAAACATAACAAACAAAGTGAGTTATATGTACGCCCTACACAGAAGAAACAGTATAGATAGCTACTTTTCTGAACAGATGACAAATTATATCAATACAGAATAGACTAAGTTAGTTATACACATTCCCTAAATGTATATTCCTTAACAAATAGTTGTTACTGAACATTGTGTTTAAGTTAAGTTTAAAAACCAGAATAGACTAAGTTAGTTATACACATTCCCTAAAGGTGTAATCCTGAACAAATAATTGTTACTAAACATTGCATTCAAGTTAAGCTAAAAAACCAGACACAAACCTCTCTGTAAACTTTCATCTCAGTGTCATCGTGTGCTGGCACCAGACATTCTTTTAAAGGCTTCACTGACAGTGCCGGAACCCTCACTTCAACTGGAGGTTTATACATTGGATTTCATACATGGAGGTTTATACATTGGATTTCATACATGGTGGTTTATACATTTGATTTCATATATGGAGGTTTATACATTGGATTTCATACATGGAGGTTTATACATTGGATTTCATACATGGAGGTTTATACATTGGATTTCATACATGGTGGTTTATACATTTGATTTCATATATGGAGGTTTATACATTGGATTTCATACATGGAGGTTTATACATTTGATTTCATACATGGTGGTTTATACATTTGATTTCATACATGGTGGTTTATACATTGGATTTCATACATGGAGGTTTATACATTTGATTTCATACATGGTGGTTTATACATTTGATTTCATACATGGAGGTTTATACATTTGATTTCATACATGGAGGTTTATACATTTGATTTCATACATGGAGGTTTATACATTTGATTTCATACATGGAGGTTTATACATTTGATTTCATACATGGAGGTTTATACATTTGATTTCATACATGGAGGTTTATACATTTGATTTCATACATGGAGGTTTATACATTTGATTTCATACATGGAGGTTTATACATTTGATTTCATACATGGAGGTTTATACATTTGATTTCATACATGGAGGTTTATACATTTGATTTCATACATGGTGGTTTATACATTTGATTTCATACATGGAGGTTTATACATTGGATTTCATACATGGTGGTTTATACATTTGATTTCATACATGGAGGTTTATACATTTGATTTCATACATGGAGGTTTATACATTTGATTTCATACATGGTGGTTTATACATTGGATTTCATACATGGAGGTTTATACATTTGATTTCATACATGCACAAACAAAAACCAAACTGGAAAAATAGGCTCGGATGAAGTGGAGACAGACCTACGGCAACTTGGAGCCCACGCATAGAAGAACAGCAGATAAGTTTGAGTGAAAAACATGCTGACTAATGTCCTACTTGGGTTGTAGAGCCAGAGGGATGGGTAGATTGATGAAATACAAACAAGTATACACAAAACAATTTTTAGCCATTGAATTTGTACAAAACCATTCCTCATCATCTTTTTAAATTCTTGCCCAAGACACATGAGATAGATGAGAAGTAGAGTTCATCTGTTTCAGTGACCTCAGCATTTAAGGGGATAGTGTGTCAGCACTGTGGCCAGTACCTTTGTTTCCCAAATTGAGTCAGGTGCTCATTAGAGCTGGGTGGACTCTGGGACATCCTACAGACTCGAACCTGAAATCCAAACTCAGCAGACATAAGCTCTACCATTTGACCATGCTGTCCCATACAAAACCATTAAACTGTGTTAACAATTCTGACCTCATAGAATCATTACAAATTTATAAAACGAACCTCATTTTGAGTAAAGAATTTTAAAATCAACATGCTTCCAGAGAAAAAGAAACAAAATATATAGTCTAAGTTATGAATGTATTTTTGTTGCCAAAAATAAGTGGGTGGTTAATACTTTAACTGCTGAAAACAAAACTGATCACATCGACGAAGACAATTTAGCTAGTAATTGTAAAGTTTACCAAAATCACACTCCTCCCTATGGGCCCCCATCACATTCTCAGCCAGTTTTCTTTTTTTGGCCACAGGACTAGCATGAGATGAGGCAGGAACTTGTATGACTTCATGCCTGGTGAAGCCCAGGGTGTTGATGACATACTGCTCCTTGGCTGTCACTTCAGTAGCTACCTGATATCAGGATTCACCATTGTAAGGCTGTAGTAAAGCTGAGGTATACTTGTTTACCAAACATGAATTTATTTCAATGACCATGCACATTGCAGAGTTATTGTAAAAATAAAAAAGCCTCAAAAAAAAAAAAAATCAGAATTAAAAAATACAAGTGTTTCATATTTACCAAAATGAGTATAAAGGGTATTTTTATTTTCAAATTTTTTTTTTTTTAAATTTTTTAAATGTTAAAAAAAAAATTAGATATACCTGTGGTTTAACACAAACTTGCAATGCCTTGTTGATAAGTTCTGTAGCATTTTGCTCAACATCTGAAATATACACACAAACATTCAGGTTATGCCATGAGTACTGATCTAATCTAGACTTGCTTATATATTATTTATATATATGTAAAAGAAAGTCTGATATCTCTTGTAAAATATTCCTACACAAGATAAATTATATATATATATATATATATATATATATATATATATATATATATATATATAGATAGTTATAAACAAACTACACCTATCTTGCTTTATCTACACTTCTACTCCTACCAAACCTACTACGATCGTGGCTTACAAAACTTATAACACGTAAGACCACGTGGCGCACGCTTTAAGGGTGAATATCCATTTCACAACTATCCCAATTCTAATACTTTGTAAATTTCCTATTGTGAAGAGTTCCCAAGATTTTTTTTTATCCCCTTATGGTCACTGAATAATCCTTGTTTTAACTACTATGACAACACAACTGTTATACATGTGTCAAATAATAAACACTCACCAAGTATGTGAGGTGAATTAATTTGTTTAAATTATTTTAAAAAGTTCTTGATGTAGATTTATTTACTTACAATACAGATACTAAAACAGTAACTATAAATGAACAAGCTTTTAATGAATTACCTTCATAGTGTTTAATAGCATCTTGAAATACCTTTAAAAACAAAACAAAACATTTATATTTGGGAATTTATTCAAAACGTCTTGAAAAGACTACAAATAAATCTAGTCCACAATAAAAAATGCTGGTTCAAATCTTGAGGACTGATCAGATTTTGCATAGACTGACCAATTTTGAACAGAAAACTCACCATATTTTAAATTGGAAAACTGACCATATTTTGAAGAGAAAACTGACCAGATTTATAGAGCTGCCAGGTAGAACATCATGAAACTGGTTGAGTAAGAGAAGCTTCCAGAGCCTGTCTATCTCTGTCCTGGGGTAGTGGAAGCTGGGATCTCTGATGGCAGCTGTGGTACAGATGGTCTCCAGCTCCTGCAGCAGGACCTCACATTGGCGGTTGTACTTTTTTACCTGGGTACAGAATAGGGAGGTTGGACAATGGTGATCATCAGTTGGTCAAGATTGGTGAGTTGTTGGTGAGTTGTTGTTGGTGAGTTGTTGTTGGTGAGTTGTTGTTGGTGAGTTGTTAGTGGTGAGTTGTTGATGTAGAGTTGTTGGTGGTGAGTTGTTGATGGAGAGTTGTTGGTGGTGAGTGGTTAGTTGTGAGTAGTTGGTGGTGAGTTGTTGTTGGTGGTGAGTTGTTAGTGGTGAGGTGTTGGTGGTGAGTGGTTAGTTGTGAGTAGTTGGTGGTGAGTTGTTGTTGGTGGTGAGTTGATGGTGGTGAGTTGGTGGTGGTGAGTTGTTGTTGGTGAGTTGTTGGTGGTGGTGAGTTGTTGTTGGTGAGTTGTTGGTTGTGAGTTGTTGGTGGTGGTGAGTTGTTGTTGGTGAGTTGTTGGTGGTGGTGAGTTGTTGTTGGTGAGTTGTTGGTTGTGAGTTGTTGGTGGTGGTGAGTTGTTGTTGGTGAGTTGTTGGTGGTGAGTTGTTGGTGGAGAGTTGTTGGTGGTGAGTGGTTGGTGATAAGTGGTTAGTTGTGAGTAGTTGGTGGTGAGTTGTTGGTGAAGAGTTGGTGGTGAGTGGTTAGTTGTGAGTAAGTGGTGGTGAGTTGTTAGTGGAGAGTTGGTGGTGGTGAGTTGGTGGTGGTGAGTGGTTAGTTGTGAGTAGTTGGTGGTGAGTTGTTGGTGGAGAGTTGTTGGTGATGAGTTGGTGGTGGTGAGTGGTTAGTTGTGAGTAGTTGGTGGTGAGTTGTTGTCAGTGGTGAGTTGATGGTGTTTAGTTGTTGGTGGTGAGTGGTTAGTTGTGAGTAGTTGGTGGTGAGTTGTTGTTGGTGAGTTGATGGTGGTGAGTTGACGGTGGTGAGTTGGTGGTGGTGAGTTGGTGGTGGTGAGTTGGTGTTGGTGAGTTGGTGGTGGTGAGTTGTTGTTGGTGAGTTGTTGTTGGTGGTGAGTAGATGTTAGTGAAATGGTGGTGGTGAGTAGTTGTTAGTGAAATGGTGGTGGTGAGTTGTTGGTGGTGAGTTGTTAGTGGCGAGTAGATGCTTTGGTAAAAAGTGGTCATCAGTGGTAAGTAGTTGGTGGTGGTGGTGGGTTGTATGTCAGGAGTGGTGTTTTGTAAGTCAGTCATCAGTGGTAAGTAGTTGGTGGTGGTGGTGGGTTGTATGTCAGGAGTGGTGTTTTGTAAGTCAGTCATCAGCCAAGAGTTTATCAGTGGTCAGTTGGTCAATACAAAGTTTTTTGATCACATCTCTGGCTATTTAGTAACTAGATTAATTTTGTAAAAATAAAAAAACATTCAAATGCTCACAGACCTTGGCCCAGGTTGTATAGGTGCCATTGTGCATCTCTAAATAGAGCTCACCCCTCCATTTACACAGGAGCTTGGGGCTCTCAGCTTCAATGGATGAGAAGAATTCATCAGACCCTGTTAGTTTCACTCTAGAGGGAATATAGGGGATTCAATGTTACCTGACAGCTACGTTAGTGCTAGTTAGCTTCTGGGTTAATGTTAGTTGACACCTGCTATAGTGCTAGATAGTTCTAGGTTTATATTAGTTGGAGCCTGCAATAATCCTCATTAGATTCTTAGTTAAAGTTAGAAGATATGGTTTAAAAAAAAAATAGGATGTGCTTTGTTACAATTGTAGCAATTAAATTCACTCAGTGCTACAAATATCTACTAACTTTATAAGCATCTAGCTAGCAGAGAGAAGGAACCTACTTGGGTATCCCATCACAGTCCTTCAGTCTAGCCAGTCTGCCTAGCATGTCCTCGCTGGAATACAGACAGACAGAATGATCAGACTCATGCTACACATAGAACACTAACACAGCCAATCTTCTCGTTAACTAAAACCTCACCTGGGGCCATGACCACCATCACCATAACCATAGAGAAAAGCTGAGCGGTTAGAGCGCCCTTTGTCTCGGAAATTTCTAGAAGTTTTCAGCATCTGATTAAAAAAAAATTATTATAAAAATAAAGAAATACATCTGTTGAAATTTTTGTTGTTTTGGTTACCTGTGTAGGGCTGGAATGTAAGAAAATAACATTTTGGTGGTTAGTTCATTTCATGATTTAAAAAAAAAATCTGTAAAGGGAATTAATCAGGTAAACAAGTTGTGCAAGTTATGGAAACTGCTTCATTTACATTCTAATTAGCTATAAATATATAAAAAAATAATTTCGAATCTAACCTTTAAATTGGGAGTATTTACTTTTGAAAATTGATGGTTTACGGAATTATTATAAGCGTGATACAGAAAAAGAGTAATATAATAATAATTATATTCATAAAAACAATAACAGTATAAAAATAATAAACAAAAACAACAGAAAAAATCCTTTGAAATTATAATATTGCTTCCATTGAACATTTGTGTGTCACAAATACTATATCTAGTATACTTTTTAAAATAACATTTGAGACCTAACAGTAATTATAACTTAAGTACTCAAAAATTTTATTTTTAGTTTGAGCTTTTAAAAAAGTTAAGGTAAAAATGTTATGTTGGTATTTAAATTAATCAAGTCCAGAATCTTCTTTACTGATCTCTTCTTAATATTATCCACTTGTTATAAAGTTATTATCTAATTGAGGAGTAAAGTAATGAAAAAATATCAGATTATACTGGAGCTGATCTACTAATCTTTACCTTGACCTTATTGAATTAGGCTGGTATTATCACAATCCGTCTAAGCATGAATTTATATTATCTTGCTAACGGAGAATAAGTAAACACTTATATCATGGGTTACATCTAGAACACATATAAACACTCATATCATAGAACTAGAACACACACACTAACACACACATATATATATATATATATCAGTTAACATATATATATTAGTAAACACATCTAAGATATCAAAAAACTTTTATATCATGGGATACATCTAGGACACAGATATTAGTAATAAATTATATATTGGGACACATCTAAGAAATCAGTAAACTTTCATATCATGGGATATATCTGAACAGATATCCCCACTTTTCATGGTACATGCTTAAAGAAATGTCTCTCTACCTCTTGGACCTTTCCCAGCATATTATAGCTGTCACCTGGGGGAAAATGAGCCAGGACGCTGCTCCCGTCTACCCCCTCCCAGTAGAAGGTGTGGTGCTGTGGACAAGCAAGGGAGGATAACTAGGGGAGAGTAAATCTGTGGTACCTCGTTAACTTTTCCTGTCATGTGGTAGCTGTCCCCAGGGGGGAAATGCGCCAGGGTTGTTGACCCATCGATTCCTTCCCAGTAGAAAGTGTGGTGCTGTGAGGGAGATGCCACATTAGCAGAAAATAACTTGGCTTGCACTTTTTATACTCTACGCCATTAAATCTTCTCCAGAACATTAAACTCTAAGTACGATAATTTAACTTGCAGTTTTTTTATTGTAAGCCATTAAACATTCATCAGGTATTTTATATTTTAAGTAGAATAATTCGGCTACAGTTTTATACTCTAAGATATTAAAAAGATAACAAGATCATTAAGTTTTAAGTACAATACTTTTGCTAGTTTCATTTTTCAAGATATTAATAAAAGTTCACCAATATGTACAATATATGAAAGGATCTTGACCAAATCACTTAAAAATAAATTTCTCCAAGATGAATAAAATATTTTCCTTTAAAATTAAGACAAATTGTATTTTAAATGAATTTGCACCAGACAAAACATTAATCAATTTATTAATGATGATTTGTGGAAACTGAAATAAATTGGCACATAGTAAAGTTGCTTGGATAAATAAAGTTTCATAAAATTATTAACAAAATCCTAATAAAAATTATCATGCGATAAAATCACTATCAACTGTTTTAAGAAATGATATTTTATTTTCTTGTTTTCTTGAAAATTGTGTACATGCAATATTTGCCACTCCCCTTATTTACACATGTATGTGTTTACATACTGCAGCGGAAAACAAAGACCACTCACAGGAAACTTATTGACCAGGCTCCAGCTCAATTTCTGGGTCAAAAACCTTGTGACCCCACAGTGTCGCATAATTTGTGGGAACTGGGCAGAATAACCAAACGTATCAGGGAGCCAAAACTGAAAGGCAATACAAAATTTATTTTCACATAGAAAATGTTGAGCTACAAGATTAGAGTCCTAGCATTAAAGGGGTGTGGGGTTATAAACAGCTGAGGTCTTAATGTGACAAGGATAATGTGATATGATGTGTTTAGTGAGAAACTGATCTACCTCCTTGCAGTGAATTCCAAACTCTTTGGTAAAAAACTGTTGTCCATACAGGAACTGTCTAATGCAGGCTTCCCCACTTGGTATGTTGCCATCCTAGATGAAATTCAAATAGAAAAATAAGATTTGCCTTTCTGACAAATGGCTGAGTATATCACAATACATTGGTATTTTGCATTCAATTTTTTTTATTTAGCCAGATTTATTAAACAATTCTAATCATCTCCACTCAAGTTCCACGAAAATTTTTTGTTTAAAACGTTGCCAGATTTATTAAATAATGCTAACAATCTCCATCCAAGTTCCACAAACAAAATTTTTTTTTAAATGTTGCCAGATGTATTAAACAATCCTAATCACCTCCACCCAAGTTCCACCAACAAATTTTTTTTTTAATGTAGCCATCCAGATTCCACCAATAATAATATTTTTTTTAATGTAGCCATATTTATTAAGCAATGCTAACCATCTCCACCCAAGTTCCACCAACACATTTTTTTTAATGTAGCCATCCAGATTCCACCAATATGTTTTTAATGTAGCCAGATTTATTAAGCAATGCTAACCATCTCCACCCAAGTTCCACCAACAAATTTTTTTTTTAATGTAGCCATCCAGATTCCACCAATAATATATTTTTAATGTAGCCAGATTTATTAAGCAATGCTAACCATCTCCACCCAAGTTCCACCAACAGGCACAAATTGGCCCTTATGAACAAACTTGCAGATGTCCTTCCAGATGCTGGGGTAATGCTCTTTTACCCATGAATATTGCTGTGCCTAAAGAAAATGAAACAAATCAGTCACAGCAACTTAAAAACACATCAACCAAGAAACTATAGAATGTAAATGCAGTTTTTAAAAAACATTTTTAAAAAAATGTAGCTATTTTGCTTCAAAACTAAATTTCACAAGCTATAAAAAACAAATTGAGCTGAAACATAGATTGGGTTGTGTCCCCTGTTGCTTTGTTCATTTTCAAATTCCTTTGTCATCATTACTGAGGCAAAAAAGAAACTTGCAGAAGGTATTTTGACAAAGCAATTTGTGAAAAGTGAAAACGAGGAACAAAAATAATTACAGGTTTTGTTTTAATGAGATTTACATTTCAACACCAGCCCGAAGCTTGAAGTGGTAAAAAATGCAAAAATGATTACCACTGGCTATTTTTAGAACAATTTTTTTAACAGGTAATTTGTTTTCTGTCAACCAGGGAAAGTTAACACCTCTGTAGAGTGAGTACACAGAGGTAAGGGAAAAGCAATTACGCATGTGGGTAGGAGAAGACGACCTACATAGGTTTACCTGTGAACACGTGAAGATAAAATCAGAGTATCGCTCCATCAGGCGAAGGGTGCATGACCAGGACCTGGCACACTTTCTGATTGTTTCAGCGTAAGGCCACAGCCATGCTGTTAGCAGGAGAAAAAAAGCAGCAGGAATTTGAAAGTGTAATTTTTATTGTTAGCAATTATAATCAATTTTATTTTACTTCATGTTTTCAATTACCCCAGGTATTAATTTTAATTTAAAAAAAAAAAAGGATTTATTTTAATTTTAAACGTTTCCTGTGCATGTTTTTAAAATAATAAACTTAAACACAGCCATAATATTGGTTAATGTAAAAACCAAATTTTCTTTCGCACAAATTATTTTTATCTTTAGTAATTACATACTATGTATTTACATTTTTTTAAAAGAAATGTTTTTCGGCTTAGACCACTTATATCACAAATTTAGACACAACCACACTTTAAGCTACAGATATGGGTTTGTTTTGTCTACAGGTTCTTAAGCATGTGTTTTAAATCAGGTCTTATAAAAACATAGGAAGACAGCCACAAGTACTGTTGTGTAAGGTGGTTGTGCTAAAAAGGTTAGGCCTTGACTACATGGACAAAACAAATCACAGGTAAAGAAATAGCAATGTGAGCTAAATTACTTCAACTCATCCTACAAGTGTGGTTTAGAGATTAAACCAAATTCCCAAGATACAAAAAGTACTAATTTTTCTACAGATTTCATTGGAGAACTTGTAAGGCTAGAACCTAATTTTTTAATCTAAAGTAGCTAACTTTTAGATGTAAGAAAAATGTTCATGATTAAATAATAAAACTCCCAGTGGAAGACAATAGTTCCAATTTAGAGCAACATTTCAACTGTACCTGTGTCAATGTGTGCATGTCCCATGGCATACAGTGTATGCTGGCTCTGTCCATTCCTCTGGTCAAAAAAGTTTTGTGCCACATCTTGTGCTCTGAGATTGAAACAAAAACTATCAAAACTTTTTTCTTGTAGGTACAGAACTAGAACAATACTAAATTTAATTTATTTGATAATACATAAGACACATAAGAGATGCTACAAAACTGAATTTAAAAAACCAAACCTACAAGGAAACTGCGGATTCATCTGATTTTAGTTTAAAAAAAAAAAACAACCTTAAAAGCATGTTGATATTTATGTTTGCTTTATATTTATGTTCTGTTTAAACTTGGAAAAATGTAGTTTAGACTAAAGACTGTCCTAAACCTTTCATTAAAAAATGTGGGGTGGTTGAAAAGAAATGATTAAAGCTTCAGTAAAAATGTAGAATATTTGGCCAAAAAATGTAAATTATCTGGCATACAAAAATGTAGAATATTTGACCAAAAAATCATAGATTATCTGGCCAACAAAAATGTCAAGCATTCGTTCTAAGCTGCTACAACAAGGCACAGTTTACCCTCTAAATGTTCTCCTGTCTGTTACATCCAAGTGATTGATGATGTCATTGACAGCATACAGAGCTTGATATCCCCTCTGGTTATCTTCTGGTAGCTCCTGTTTAGTGAACAAAACAAGTAAAACTGTTAAGAATTGCCGCAAACAAAATTTTATTCACTGGAAATCTGAGCAACTAAAAGTTTGCACTTAGACAAATAAAACTTTTTTTTTTATAAAATTGTTCCAGCATTAATTAAGAAATGTAGTAAACCTATATTTGTAAAACTTGTTTTAACAGAGTAAAAAGTAAAGAATTCTCTTTAGACCAAATGATCTGTAGGGCAGATGAAGTAGAGTTCATGTTTCTTGAAGGGAGCTTTACTTTCCCTAACGTGAGTCAGGTTCCCATCAGAGCTGGGTGTACTCAGGGACATCAACTGACTTGGACCCGGATTCGAACTCTAAACTTTCAGGTTAACAGCCTAGAGCTCTATCTCTAAGGCCACATCGTTTAGTAGGGTAGTTAGTAAATATTTTCCACTTTAACACAGCTTCTTCTATCCAAATACTTGTGTGATCTAGTGTAAGGATTATAGTTTATCCTTTATAGTTAGTGACAGATATTGTATGTAAATCTTCATATTCGATTCTGTTTGACAAATTTGGATGACAAATAAAACTCAGAAAACTGTACCTCGGCAATGTCATGCAAAGTCTCAACATCCAGGATAAGGTTGTACACATCTCTGTCAAACACAGCTACTTCAGCCTGGGCCAGAGTGAATGTCCTCTTGTCGTCCTCAGGCTTGACCAATGCCAGGCTGCCTATACCAAACAGGTGGTTGCAGGCCATCTCAATGTAGATGGTGTGACTAGGGGGAAACAATAGGCAATTTTAATCAATGAAGATGGTGTGACTTAAGAAAAAACAACAGATTCAAGAAAATATTAACAATCTGGAAATAAGGTGTTGACATTACTTCTCAGACTTCACAGTACCTATTAAAACACCTGTTAGGTGTATTAAAAAAATGCAATTTCGCTAGTACTTCTACCCCAACCATAACCATATTATGACAGTGATGCCAGTTGATAAAAAAAAAACACAGGTGGCCCCGACAAGAGCTCACAACAATGGAGCACTGAGTTGCCAGGGTACCTGGTAGAATTTAGGATATGTAAATAAAATTTGGCAGGTTTTTTTTTTTCTGGACCACTTGAACACTGCACTCTATTAGTGGTTCACAATAACATGAAGAAATGTTAATTAAAATAGTAACATTTGACACCTTCACAAAAACTATCATTTTACTTTGAGTAAAAGTCAACATTTAAGGATGCAGTTATACCTACAAATGAACATTGAGTTAATGGCATGACACAATTTCTTTACTTTTTAAAAAAAGAAGAGTTAGGCATTAGAGTTCAGAGATAGTTGTCATAACATAAATCTTGCAGTCAAATGTAAATTTTTGTTATGTAATCTACTCTTTGACTTACTTCAGCTCTGATGGCTTGAGCTTGTGAGATATGATGTAGCTGATTCTGTCATTGTCTGCACTGAGTCCCTGCAATGATAGATTATAGTCGCTGACACCAATCCTTCAGTCATTAGTTTTCTGAAGGCTCTAAATCTTCTCTGACTTTTAACAACACAGAAGTTACTTCTTCATAAAAAGAAGTACATAAGCAGAGAAAATTTAACAGCACCTTCAGATGTATCATAAACAAAATCTAAATGTATAAAAAAAAAATACTGACATATAACCTTTAAAAAAACTGAACTGCAAATGTGGTAAATCTACTTTTTTAGAATTGATCTGAAATTGGCACTAAGAAAATATTCTGATATCATTCATAATAATTAGTAAATTATTAATTTTCTAATGTTTATATTTCAACTAAAAAATTAAACAATTTATTTGTGCTTGGTGAGTAACCCAACAGACCTCTAATTAGTTTACTAGGTTCACCATTGACCGCGAAAATCTGATTAGTTTAATTGATTCTCTGCTAACCAAATAAACCCCTGATTAGTTAATTGTTTCTATACTGACCCAACAAACCTCTGATTAGTCTAGTTGTTTCTATACTGACCCAACAAACCTCTGATTAGTCTAATTGTTTCTATACTGACCCAACAATTCTCTTATTAGTCTGTTTCTATTTGTATACCTGTTGTGGTTCACCATTGACCCAAACTAAGGCTTCACTGCCAGAGTTCCATAGCAGGTGAATCTCTTGACCCTTCCAGTCAGCAGGTATGTTTACCTGTAATTCAAACCAATGTGTACTCCACCTGTGGATAAATTGCAATGATCACACATAACGTAACACCTGAAAATACATAGTTTTTTAAACTATTAAGTGTGTGATTAACGCACACATTTTGTACAGCCGTTATTGAGTTATACTGATGATTAGTAATTTAGAACCAAGACATTTTTATTTCCATAAGTAGAAATGGTTTGCTATTAATTGATCAATTAATTATGATTAACAAAGTTAAAGTAAATATATTTCTCATCATAAATCTTTAAAAAAAAAAGTTGACATATTCCTGATTCTAAAAAATTTAATAAATAATTAGAATATTTCAAAGTGTATGAAGGAAATAATAAAATAATAACTAAAAAAAATGATTAAAATACTCTTGATTTTATTAATGTAATTATTATAACAATAAAATATAACTACTGATAAAAATCACATTAAATATTTAAAATATTTCACCAATGAAATTAATCTTACACTGGGCCAAAGGATTGGCCAATGTTCGCCGCCTCAAAGTTCCCAGTCATAGCCTGCTTGCAGCTGACTCTGTCAGGTGCAGCGAAGTGTTTTATACTTGACAACGGCGCTCGTTCTTTGTACAACCTGTTGTGTCGTTAATTAAAATGTTTAATTTTAATTCCTAATAATTTGTGCTTAAAAAAATTAAACAAAAAAAAAAGAAGTTGCTTACTTCTTCCTAGTTTAACATCAAATATTATGTAGATATGATCAACTTACTGATTTTTAAAACAAAAAATAAAACAGAAAGCAGCTTCTTACTTTCCCCTTAGGTTAACATCAGTAAAATATAATGTAGATATAAATTTCTCAGCTCTTTCAAGGGTCGTTCGTTTGTGTTTAAAAGGAACATGCTCCATTTCTCTGAAGCAGAAAGTGATGGTTTAAAATGACCTTACGTTAGAAATGTCTTTGGTAATCATATAAAATAATACAAAGCATGACTAATAATTTATAGCAGCCTGAAAATGATTTTTAAGGGTGTTGGCTACGAGATCTAGCCCAAAAAAGCCAGCTGATTGAAACCAAATTGCCTATAGCCCATTTTCTTAAATTAAAAAAAACTTCCACTTGTTATTCAAATGCAGCTAATAATACCAATACCTTATTTGAATAAGAACTAATTTACATGTATAAAAAAAAACAAATTTTTCTTTGAGAATATGTATTAAACAAACAGAGAATCTAACCACTAGCGTATTAGTTATTGCAACCAGTGTCTGACCTATGAAAATAGGTGTTAGGTTTATAAAAATATTGTGACATCAGTTTTAGGACCAAAGGGCTATGGAGAGGCTTAGGTTAGCATTGACATTAGCAAGGTATATTAATAGTATTCTTCTTCTTAGCATTAAGATTAACAAGTTATATTAATAGTATTCTTCTCCTTCGTTCTTAATTGTAATGCTGGATGGGTTTTCCTGCATCACAATTAAGTATTTCATGTCAACCTGTTATGGGCCATATAGGCTGTTGACTCCAATTTAAGCCTGCTTGTCTTTTTAGATAATTTGTTGGCAGCAGTTGTTTGAATTTGAAGTTTTATCTCCTTGATGGGTTGCTGTTCCAAGCTGTAGAGCCTCATGGGGGTCAAACTTGGGACTGCTCTGTTAATATCTGAATATCAGTAGGTATAACCCAACACCCTTCACCTTTTAGTTTTAGGAAGGTTCCATTTTTATGACATAACCAGTCTCATTATTATCTTTAAACACAATTGAGTTACTCGGTTAACTTAAATATAATTTATATTTTATTTAGACCTATAAGATAATTATTTATAATTATAATTAAGAATTGCAGTAGCAAAGTAATGAAATCTTCATATTGCTTCAGCTTCGCAGCTTTAGCTTAGCGCCCCTCTAGATCATTTTGTAGTACTTACTTATGTTACACCCCACAAACTAATAGTAAAATAGGCTAATAATATGTACTATAATAGTAATTATTAGTAATACAACTAAACTTAAATCTAGATAGTAGATATTTCTGATCTATTAAATAAATAATACTTATATTCTAGTAACTAACCCCCCCCCCCCCCCAACACAATTAGTATCAATTACTAAATAAAGTAGTCAACTGTAAAGTAAAGACTAAAACAACGGTAATCTATCGTTTTGGGTACGTAAAATCGCCCGCGGCTATTAATGTACGAAAACGTTACCTCATTATCAAGGCTGTAATAGAAGTATATTGTGATATGTTTGTGTCAAATATTATAGATAAATGAATAATAAACCTAAATCAATGGCTAAATATATCAATATAGGCCAGAAATTAACTTTAAACAGCAGTGTCTGCAAGCAAGATTTGCTATATAGGCCTAATATAAAAAAAGCAGCCATTTGTAAAATAGAGTGACTTCCGCCTGAATCTTGCGCTATAAGTCTATAAAAATAAAACTTTAACAAGATGGCTGCTATAGTAAATGAGCATGGTTGCATCTGTTGGAAACATCGCTGGTGTTCATTTATTACTGAAAAGTTTTAATTCAATTGAATAAAAACAGGTACATAAATGAAACAAGGAAACATTTTTGTATTTTTCAAAACATAAATCCTCCTCAAAATGTGAAAGAATTATTAAAATTTAAGGAGTCACCTGGTTTTCACATTACAAATTGCGGGCGATTTTACGTACCCAAAACGATAGATTACCAAAAAAACTATAGATCTAGATCTAGATCTAAGTGTAGTAAAGTCTTTTTTTTTCTTTAGGCCTATTCTTTAATGGGTAGTAGGCCTAGAACTTAGATCTATATACTATACTATATAGATCTAGATCTACTAGATCTAGATCTATATAGATCTAGATCTAATAGTAATAATCTATATATTTATCGGTAATCTATCGTTTTAGGTACGTAAAATCGCCCGCGACTAGTAATGTGAAAAACAGGTGACTCCTTACATTTTAATAATTATTTCACATTTTGAGGAGAATTTATGTTTTGAAAAATACAAAAATGTTTCCTTGTTTCATTTATGTACCTGTTTCTAAACAATTGAATTAAAACTTTTCAGTAATAAATGAACACCAGCGATGTTTCCAACAGATGCAACCATGCTCATTTACTATAGCAGCCATTTTGTTAAAGTTTTATTTTTATAGACTTATAGCGCAAGATTCAGGCGGAAGTCACTCTATTTTACAAATGGCTGCTGTTTATATAGCAAATCTTGCTTGCAGACACTGCTGTTTAAAGTTAATTTCGGGCCTATATTGATATATTTAGCCATTGATTTAGGTTTATTATTCATTTATCTATAATATTTGACACAAACATATCACAATATACTTCTATTACAGCCTTGACAATGAGGTAACGTTTTCGTACATTAATAGCCGCGGGCGATTTTACGTACCCAAAACGATAGATTACCTATTTATCTACTATTATCTAGTAGATCTATATCTAGATTCTCTAGATCTAGAATCTAGATCTTCTAGATCTAGATCTAGAATAGTAGTAAAATGTCTAAAATATCAGCCTTTTAGATATAGTCTAGAATCTAGATCTAGAGAAGAACAGCGTGACAGTTATTATTATTAAGTTGTGTACAATAATCTTACAATCATACAAACAAATAGGCCTACAATGCAAACAAAAATTATTGCAGCCACCGGCTTGTACTCAGAACCTTGCACCTTTGAACTTTGACCCACTCAATTTCATAAAGGTATATTACTTCCTCGCATTCAAACATTATGGTCCAGCATTTCCCCATTTTAAAAGTTTAAACTATGTGGAATAAATAATTTTGGAGGTGTGTGTGTCGGTGGCAGTGTTTCTTCCAGGCATCTCTTCAGGGGGGAGGGGGGCGAACGAAATGGAATTTATATAGAAAATATATACTTTTAACAGTGTCCCTCCCCCCCCCCCCCGGGATTTTTTAGTACCCCCCGTCGGAGAAAAAAGTCTGGAAGAAAAACTGGTGGGGATGGGGTGGGGAGGGAGTGGAGTGGGGGTGGAAATGCTTTTAGGGAAAATGTATAAACAACTGCATATTGTAATGATTAACTTATTAATCTATGGATTGGGCCTAGGCCCTAAACAAATTAATAATTTATTAAAACAGTACAGTATCTCAAATGTAAGCCTAAAATAGCTTAGATAAAATAGACTAGACTAGGTAATGTTGTGTGTGGTCAACTACCCAGAATCATAATCGCGGGCAGGGTGGGGGAGGGGGGAAGGGAAAGTCACTTAACTAGCAATATTCCTAGTAATTATTGAACAATTAATGGCGAAATATATTTTATTAGAGATTTATTTAGAGGGCGAACAATAATGCATGTATGAGACGGTCTTAAATAAAGGACCAAAGGAAATGCTTACTTTGAAGACGTGGAATGTCTGATTAGTGGTAGGCACATAAAGTAGACCAGAATATATAAATCAGTGTTTTAATCTTGTTTTAGCGCTAAGACGGTATATTAATATTTTCAATTCATAGTGCATTGTCAACTAGTACAGTAGTCTAGTACTTTTAATGCTTTTCTTATGCAGTCTACTGTTATGTCATACTTCAGTAGTCGAATGTTATGTTATCCTTTAGTAGTGTATAAATGTTATGTAATACTTCAGTAGTCTAATGTTGTTATGTTATCCTTTAGTAGTGTATAAATGTTATGTAATACTTCAGTAGTCAAATGTTGTTATTTTATCCTTCAGTAGTCTATAAATCTTATACTTCAGTAGTGTAATGTTGTTGCGTCCTACTTCAGAAGTCAAACTTTATTCATGGCTGGTCCTACTAATGCTATACATTACTTATTAATTTGCTCTTATATTTGAGCAAATTTTCCCCACAATAACGTGGTTTATAAGACATCGGCATTCAGTATTCACATGTGAGAAAATCAATAGCCTACAGAAATTCCAGAATGTTTTATTTTATCCCACATTTTTAAGCTTCAATTTTTTTAAACAATCCGCTGTGTTCAACAGACCACAAATCCGGTAGGACATCTTCACATACTTGGCTCCGCTACAAGACATGATGTGTTCTACAGGGATTGTTCTACGTGGTACGTTGATAGAGTGTATATATGTATATATATATATATATATATATATATATATATATATATATATATATATATATATATATATATTTGGTTGTGTGTGGGTGGGTGGGTGTGGATGTGGATGCAAGACTGAAAAGGAGAGTGAGGGTGTAGAAAGAGTAAGAGAAGGAATTAGAAGTTAGATGAAATCAAGTTTTTTATGAAAAGAGGAAGAAATCAAGTTTTTTTATGAAAAGAGGAAGAAACTGTGCTCATGGATAGGGGGTGGAGTGCAGATTTAAATCGGGGCATCTGTGCAGCAATTCTGTGATCTTTGTCAACTTGATGGCTTCCCTTTGTTTAGATCAGATTTCTGTCATGCCAGTGGTTTCCCTTTGTTTCAGACAGCTTCATTCATGTTTATCACCACATAGTCTTTAGTACGTTAAACAAAATTCAAACTCTGAAGCTCATGACAGTTCTATAAAAACATTAGTCAACCAATAACCAGAAGTTTTTAGTGTTTGATAAACGGGCTACTGCCAATATCTTTCTAGCAAATATTAGGAGCCTAACATGTCTATTTAACAGTTTAAAATATTTGCAACCGTATTTAAACAAGCAAACGGCTAAAGATATAATGTGCCCAGCTAGAATTGGTAACCAGCTAACATGTTTGGCGCCTAGCCTGAATTGGTAAATTGCTGAAAGTATTTGAAACTCAACTTGGTCGAGTGAAGTTAGTAAATAGCTAATAAGATTTAGAGCTGACTTAGGCCGAGTAAGTAGCTAATAATATTTAGACCCGACTTAGGTCTAGTAAATAGCTAAAAAATATTTCTGTCACAGCAGTTGTTTATTGGTCAGGAGACGCCATCGATTCACTTGCAACTCTCGCATTAAGGCTAAAATTAGTAACGGCACCACGAAAATCAACGGTCATCGATCTCACGCAGACTCGAAAACAAAAACAGACAACAGGATAACAGTCTTCGGGGCAACGACAGACTACATGACAACAGACTAAACACGTGCGGCGTCAATTCGGCCAATGACGAAACGGCCCCGTCAAAACGACCCCGACAAAACGACCCCGTCAAAACGACCCCGTCAAATCGGCCCCGTCAAAAGGGCCAGCGACATATGGACCCCGTCATATAGGCTCCCGACAAATAGGCTCCCGTCATTTAGGCTACCGACAAATAGGCTCCCGTTATATAGGCTCCCGACAAAAGGGCTCCAGTCAATAAGGCTCCTGACAAATAGGCTCCCGTCATTTTGGCTCCCGACATATAGTCTCCCGTCATTTAGTTTTTTTCCACAAAACGGCCCCCGTCATTACGACTCCCGACAAATAGGCTCCCGCCATTTAGTTTCTCCACAAAACGGCCCCCGTCATTACGACTCCCGACAAATAGGCTAGCGTCATTTTGGCTCCCGACAAAAAGGCTCCTGTCAATTTGGCTCCAGACAAAAGGACCACTGACACAGTGGCGTAGCTACCGTAAAGCTAGCTTAAGCAAGGCATGGGGGCCCAAGGCACATAGGGGCCCTTTTCCCTCATAAAAAATTAAAACTTTTACAATGGAATTTTAATATTTGTTACATATAAATAAATTTTAAAAAAGAAAAAGGTTAAAAGTTCCAAAAAGCCCCCCCCCCACCGTTTCGGCAGTGTGTGTGTGTGGGTCAAACAGAGCCCAATCGTTATAATAACACTACAGGCTATATCACTTTGTCGTGCAAGACATTGAGAGAATCAGCCTATAAATAAACTTTTTAGCAGTAGTAGGCAAGCATAATAATATAGTATAAATACAAAATCAGGACATATAAAATACAAAATGTTGCCTTCAGAATATTTATATATTAAAAAATATCCATCGTAAGTAGAAGTTGATCTCTTCGTTTAACTCCTCTGTAGCCTAACGCAGAGGCGTAGCGAAGGCGAGGCGGGGGGTGCGGACCGCAACGGGTGACACCATTTAGGGGGGGTGACACCAAAGGCAAAAAATTGTAAAATTTATAGAATGAAATGCCATTTTCCAGATCCATTAGTTAAAGTTAAATAGTCTTCTAAGTACAAATCGAAAATTATATCAAGAGGGGGGGGGGGGGGGTGTGTGACACCACGACGTAAACGTAAACTATAAAGAAAACAATGCTACATCCAACTGTATTATAAACAGACTGTAGATAAACATCGCTACTATTAAGTCAGCAGTGATTAAAGCTTAAACACGTACGTGTACCAGTATGTGGTATATATATAAATTTTAGGCCTATGTAGGCCGACACACACACACACACACACACACAAACACACACACACACACATATATATATATATATATATATATATATATATATATATATATATATATATATATACATATATATATACATATATATATATATACATATACATATACATATATATATATATATATATATATATATATATATATATATATATATATATATATATATATATATATATATATATATATATATATATATATATGCTTTGTTTCCTGGGAGGGGGTGACAATACGAAGTGCCGCACCGGGTGAGACCCGACCTAGCGACGTCACTGGCCTAACGGCTGACGAAGGAGCCCACTGATAATTTTTGCATAGGGGCCCAAAAATCCTAGCTACGCCACTGCACTGACAATACCGTTTCTGTAGAGACTAAGTCTCCCGGCAAAGCGGTCTCATTGAATATGACATCTGCCAGTGGGACCCCTTCATCAATATTCTTTAGAGTTAGCTTATCCAACACTCTTATGTAATACAACGTATGCATCTCTTTGTTCGGCAGGCCTTAATTTTATATTAGTTTATCTATTATAAAATATAGTATGTTTTAATTTAAGGGTCATCTATCTATGACATCCATAATTGAGTCGGTTATAGGCTGTTCCAACTCATTGTGTGGGGAGAAGGGTCCACGCTGTACCTTCCTAACTGCAATATGCTTGTACAGGGGCGTAGCGAGGGGGGGGGGGGGCGGGGTGCGGACCGCACCGGGTGACACCATTTAGGGGGGTGACACCAAGGCAAAAAATAGCAAAATATATAGAGAAAAAGTTGAGGGGGTGGGGGTGCACATCGAAAGTTTGGGGGGGGGGTGCAAATCGAAAACTTGAAAGTTTGTCCCCGGGGGTGACACCCGACCTCGCTACGCCACTGTGCTTGTAGGTTATCAAAACAAAATGCTGTTATCATGTTAACATCATGTATATCATACATTTACACTTCTGTGCTCGCTTTTAAGCAACAGATCTTTTCTGTTGTAAATTAAACATTATCAAAACTTTAGAATTGGTGTAATTTAGCTGTTAAGGGCTCGATTTGTTTGTGAATTAATGTTGGTTCATGAAAAAATAATTTCATTCGGGCATTAAAAAGAGGTTATGGTGGTATTGGAGGTAGGACACAATGGTTACTTTTATGCCAATAGTGGTCATATCATTCATTTTTCTGGAGCCAATATGTCGGGAGTCATTTTGTCAAAAGCCAATATGTCGGGAGCCCAATTGCCGGGAGCCAATATGTCGGGAGCCCATTTGTCGGTAGCCAAAATGTCGTGAGCCCATTTGCCGGGAGCCCATTTGTCTTGAGCCGCT